ATGAGAACCCAATTTCTGCTTGCAAACCTTCTCTTAGGGTACGTGGTGTTGGCCTTTGGGATGGAAATCAAATATATTAAGTATTGCGGTAAGTGATAGTCATGATGGTTAACGAGCGTTGAATTTTTTAATTACTAAAAGTAGAGATGAAAATAACAACAATAATAGTGCTCGCGAAGCGAGTTTATAATCGCATCGCACGCGTGGTCTTAGCGACCTGCAAAGTCGGCCGGCCAATATACAGCTATTTCCAGAAAGGTTGTCGGAAAAAGTGCACGCGACAATCCCGAAAGGCATTGTGGGCGGTTTTGAGTTCACTGTTCTTCAGAGAAATTTGAAAGAATTGGCACGAAGGGCCATGAAAATGTGTTTGCGAGTGCTAACGGAATGCAACAAAAGTAGGTTCGACAGCGCTACAGTCGTCAGGAACAGTGTATCGATCATATCCCATATTACCTTGCAGGATTGCCTCTATCCTGAGATCATGCCCTCTCCCCATTATCCCTTTAAGTCTCTCACGGGAAGAGGGGCGTTATTTTTTTTCCCCTCTCGAGCCAAAGAAACAAAGACGCCAAAGAAAAAAAGCGCAAAAAAAAAAAACGCCTGATCTCAGGTTAGATTGCCTCGTGCACATTTTTTTTTCAACGACCTTTCTCGAAATAGCTGTATATTTCTATGTATATCGCGATGTCCGCCCTGACGTCACTATTGTTACGTCACAGCGCATTTTGTGTTTCTCGACAACATCAAAAAAACCGCCACAAACCTGGCCCAGTTGTTTTAGCGGCGGTTTAAGAGGTCAAGAAATACTTTTAGCGATAAATTTCCAAATTAGAAGTACCTTTAACAGAAAATAGATGCGATTTGGACAATTAGCTTCAAAAAAACAGCGGAAATAGAGGTATGAAGACACTGTTTTGCGTCCTACTTGGCAGACGAGTTGTATCGCCTTTTTGGGCATGTTGTTTTTTTTTTTTTCAATACGATTAAATGCGTTAAAATTCGTTTTTTACCGTCACTAGCCCGATTATTTTCCAGAAATATATGTTTGATTTCGTGTTTAATACGGCTCGATCAGCTTTAAACAGTGTTTACCAGTGAAAGTTCTATGGAAAAGGAATTAAATTAAACACTTTCCCCACTACTTGCGAAGTCTCCTCGGTAGTGTAGTGGTAAGGATAAATCGCGCCGAGCAGAAGTAGTAGGGTTCGAATCCTGTAAAGGCACTCTTTTTGTTTCTTTTTCTTCTTCCTTTTTTTTTTCCCGCTATTGGTTTGTGTTCTTTTTAATAAGAAAAAAAGGGTCTGTTAAATTCTCGTAAGAAAGGGTATAGCTTCTTTCCCTTTCTTCCTACCTCTGGCCCTTTTAATAGCCTCTGCTTCGCGAGGCTCTGCGATTCACGTATTTCTAGTTATCATGTAATTGAGAAGATTAAGATAAAAGTAAGATTGATAAGACATTGTCCAAACCCATCAGTGTTAAGGTTACTGTCCTCCTTCATGTACATATTCTTTTGAAGACCTTATGATTTTCGCTGCATCTGAAAGAAAAGTCAACCGGGTCATAAACATGGTCAAAACAGCTATGAAGATGTGGGGATCGAGTGGAACTCCACGAAGTGAGCAGTGGTTCAAGTGAAAACCAGTTTGCCTTGCCCATGCTAGGTGATCTTATGTGGACGCAACAGTGGCCGATGGATCGACAGATGATTGACAGGGAAGCTCGGAAGACTGTTATTGAGAACGGAGGAAGGCACCCCTGTCGCTTGAATGCGATATTCTACCTACCTAAAGAGAAGAGGGGAAGGCCAAAGTTCGGCTCAGATGTATAATAAAGCCACGAAGGGTGCTGTTAGACCCCATTGTAATGAAGACCCAGCCATAAACATGCGGCGGGAATTTAGAGACCGGACGGAGAAGATAAGACGGAGGTCCATGATTAAAGAAGAGTTTAGGTTTGAGGAGGAGCTTGGTGTCGAGCTTAATCTCGAGCACCCGCGTTCAGTCAAGAGGGAATTGCGAAAGTGTCAAGTAGAGAAGCTAGAGGAGGGAGTGAGAAATCAAAGATGGCATGAAGTCTAGCTTCATTTACATTACAGGACGACAAGTTGAATATTGAGGGGTGTTTCTGCTGGCAAAATGAGTGGAAGATCTACCCTACATAGAAGCATTTTCTGAACTATACGAGCAGCTATTACCAACTCGGTTATGCAATCATTGTGCAGGCTTGGCGGCAAGACCAACAGAGAGTGTGACTCACATTTACAGTGATTACAGCGGTTCTTTATGGATGATGATGGCTATAGCAGCAGGGTCTCCTCACCATCGTGAAGACGTTCAGCAGTGATATTAAGATGGAGTTTGGCCTTGATAAGTGTGCAAAAGCCACCTTCAAAAGAAGGCGCCTTACCAGCACTAGCAATATCCATATCGACAACTCAGCCACCATCAAAGAACTGGAGCAAGAAATAACTTACAGTAACTTACCTTCAGAGAAATTCTAGGAAACCTCAACCTCTGGGAAATTCAAAAGACAGAATTACTGGGAACGGCACATATTCTACAGAAGGTCCTATCCATCAAGTGACAACGAAGACAAGGTAACCCACAAGTGCCTCAGGTTCAAGGTTTCGAGCCGGCCCTTGGAGAGGAAATACGGTCTCATGTACTTAACACTTATAACAATCATAATAATAGCTTAGATAGATTGATAGCCGGGGTGAGAAAGATCATTCGCGAGAGTGGAGGTAAACAGCCACTCAGCTTCAAGTCTGTTATATACCTGCCAAGAGATAAGGGAGGGTGTGGCTTGCGATCTTGGGCAGAAATATAAACTCATTAAAATCAAGGCAGCATTGAAACTGTATCAGAACCCAGAACCTTCCATAAGGGCCGTTCAGATGTTTTAAGAGAAAGCAGCTAAGAAAGGGCATTCATCGCTGGTTACTGAAGCACATAAGTTCGGAGATGAACTGGTGGCTAGTCTAACCCTTAAACATTCAGACCCATGGTGTGATTTGCACAAGGGCTCAGAGGAACTGATTGAAGTAGCAAGGTAAACGCGCGCCTAAAGAAAGCTGCAATGGATAAGTTTCGAGAAAAAAGATCAAGGCAGAAAAGTGGTACGGACATCTGCCTTCTTCTCCTTGGCAAGACGAGGAGCTATGTCAAGAAGGATGCTTTGCTTGGTTAAGAGAGTGGACGTCTGCACCTATCCACATCCTTGCTGGTGTAATGGAGCTCTACGAGCACCTAACACCAACCAGCGTGTATACATCTTCTAAGACAGGAACCACCCAGGGCGATGTACCGTGTAGGTTGTGCGGAAAAGCTGCAGCGACCCTCTCACACGTTCTATCTGTGTGTTCCGCCCTAGTCAAATTATTTGAACCGACAAAATGCCGCGTTGAGGATACTTTTCTTCGAAATGTGTTAACACCTAAAATTGGTGGACTCTATTCCCCCATGGTACTAGCCAGTAACACCTAAACCAATGTACGAGTCATCTGATGCGCAAGCCATCTGGGATGTGCCGGTTTTCGCTGAACATACCATACCTTTTATTATTGTTCTTCAGTGTGGCATTTTTGTGGAACACGCAACAGTGAAAAGCTGGAGGCAGTTAATAAGCGCATTCTTAGATTTATTTTAAATGATTATACTTATCACTACACCACTTTGCTTAACAAGGTTGAAATGACTTCTTTGTATAACAAGCGCATTCAGAATTTTGTAATACTAGTTTACAAGAGTCTATTTTTTAATGAGAATTAATGAGTATCCAACTTATATGAGGAATATGTTTACTGTTCGCCATACAACCCATAATTTGCGCGGTACCCATATGTTGACTCTAAGCAAGCCTAGAACAACAACCTATGGGCTCCACTCTTTTTCTTATTTTTCCGCCCAGCAGTGGAACGATCTTCCCGACGAATTAAGGAACTGTACTTTTAAAGATTTTAAGCGACGTCTTCAAAGTCGCAATACGTTTAATTAGTTTTCACTAATTTTTGTCTTCTTTTGCGCGTGTAGTTTTTTTTCAGTTTTTAGAGATTTTAATTTCTTTCTCAAAGACATAAGCCATATAGTGTAGCTACTCTAAACTTCGAGTTGAAATAAAGGTTAATGTATGTATGTATGTACGTACGTAGGTACGTACGTACGTACGTACGTATGTATGTATGTATGTATGTATGTATGTATGTATGTATGTATGTATGTATGTCATTTTGAGGCTAACAGTGTGGATGCGCGGTTTGAGGGAAAGAAAGTCTGGGCAGTGGAGATGAGTTGTCAGTGGGTGTAGAATCGTGGAAAGAAGGATGAGGAGAAGACAGCCAAGTACGGTCCTCTGTGATAAGAGCTGAGGAGGCAATACCCAGGTTATAATACTGTCATTGATGTGCTAGAAGGGTGGTCTAAGGAACTTGAGCTGAAAAGAACTTGAGCTCAAAAAGTTTGTAAATCAGGCTTTTTCCTAACCTAGTTGGAAGCAATCCAAGAACACCTTTCCTCTTAAGCAATAAATTTAAGACCGAATCCATCAGGAAATTGATTAATTTTAATTTTTAAACAATATCGCATTCTTTTTTTCAAGGGCTATAGATGTAATTAGTTAGCTATGATAACACCAACGAAAATTTTTTATGAGAGCCCGAGAAAATAAATATCAGTTTTTACTAAATGACATCTTACACCTGAAATTTTCAGAATTTTTACCTGTGTTTCAACAATTCTTGTGAAATTTTGGAATGTACCTCAGTAATGGTTCTTCGCAACTTGTTACATAGTTTTAGAGGTTTAAAATAGATTTCGCTTTAGACAAGGATGGCTAAAATAAATTTCACCCAAGTTTGAAACAGCAACTTAGGCCATGTCTACCTGAATCCGTACATTTTTCAAACCGCATATTTTTTATCCGGATTCGTGTTAACGGGGCCTTAAATCGCTCTGGAGAGCGATTTCAAAAATACCGTAAAATTCCGAAAAAAAGCCCCTGGGCTTATATTTTTCAAAGGCTTTTTTTGAGGGGCTTATTGGAGGGGCTTATCTATGGCGGGAAATTTGCGTCTCAAAATCGATTGTGCTAGCCTTATAGTTGGAAGGAAATTTATCGTTTTTGCTTTCCTTTACTTTGTATTTGAGGGCAATTTCTAAGTACAAGCCCCCGGGGAGGGAGGGGGGGGGGCTTATATTTGGAAGGGCTATTTAACGGAGGGTTTTTTGCGTTACGAGTTTGGGGGACTTATATTTGGAGGGGCTAACATGGAGGAGCTTATTTTCGGAATTTTACGGTATGCGGTTTCGGTGTGCTGATTCCGGCACTGGTTTCGTGTGCACGGAAGGCCGATTCGTATAAGAAAGTATGCGGTTTCAAAAGTATCCGGATTCGTGTGGACGAAGCCTTAGGCACATTCTTGGTTTTTTTCTGTTATTTAACAAAAACATTGCTTGAAGCATTGTAGGTAAATTTGAGCAAGTAAGCTCTTATGTTTCATGGTAAATTCATTTGTATCATGACAAAACTAGAAACGTTTGAAAGTAGTATATTGTTCCAATGAGGGCTTTGACTGTTGTTATTAAAAATGTAAATTATATTCCGAGCTTTAGCCGATCAACGACATTGTCACAGGGCAAAGAGTCTCCCGAAAGGCATACAGATAGTCTCTAACACAAAAGTTCCACAAATTTGTTGCATTCCTCACGGGAGTTACTGGCTGAGCTTGGCTGGCTCATTGTACACTAAGCTGCGAAGAACACGCTGGTTCTGACAAAAATTTCTCGAAAGACATTCTGATCAGATATTCTCTAAAACAAAAGGTCAGCAAATTCGTTGCCCTCCTCACCGGAGTTGAGGGCCGGCTCAATGTAAATCGAGCTGCAAAAAACACGCTAGTTCTGACAAACTGATTTGAGGGTTGAACCCTATTCATTGATTAGCTGCTGCAAAACGGGATACTAATAGCCCTTTCAAACAAGAAATCGTACGCTTGCTCACCTGTTAGATCCTCAGCAACAACTCAATAAACGCAATCCATAGTCCATGACCAACACTTACACACTAGATCACCCGGCCTCGAACCACGAGGAGTAAATGCAAGACCGTGACGTCACTGCCCAAATATGGGGTATTACTTACACCCAAATTTGGGCAAAAAAAAAGGGTTACGCAGATTTGAGAAATGTTCCAATACATTGCGCGGCATAATGAATCAGTGTTGCTTCTTAGTTCGGCTGCTTCGTTGCCAATAATAATAACATTATAAATTTTTTTTGTTTTGTTTTGTAAAGGTCCTAAAGACAAGACTTTGCATTTTAGCATCAAACCGTGGGCGGTTATTACACCCGGCCAGGTCATACATATCAACTTAACTTTCACTCCACGTGAGTATAGGTCATATATCGACTTAATTGTCTTTAGTTTCCGCACTGTTGTTGATTTAGCTATTAAAACCTAGGAATGTTAACATGCTTCTAAGGGTGCCAAAAGGCTTATAGTTCGGGACCGAGTTATATTCTACTTTTGAGCCTTATTTGTGTTCTATTTCCCACCAAGAGAAGTGAGTTTTTAACTAAAATCGGGTAGATTCTTTGTGAGTAGGCGACCAATATTAACATAGGCGGAAAGGGCCACCCCTTGTATTTATTTTAAGGATATATAATCTAGGGACATTGGCAGCGGCCGCAACAGGCGACTTAACCGAGTTATTTCTAGTTAACTCATCACAATTAAGCGGTCTAAAAAAGGGCTAGTGCGGCCGCGCATTTTGGGTCTTAACCGAGTCTTAACCGGGTTATGTATTAATCTCGCAAGAACAATAGATTTTCTTAACTGGGTCAGGTTTTTTTAAGCTATCTTGCGGGTGGTTTAACGCAGGTTAACGTTATCAATCAATCAATCAATCATCTATGCCTTCGCGTGAGAATTATCCGAATTTAGGTTTTGTCGTGTACTCAAGCGCTGCATTTTCGAAAATTACTTTGTTCCCTCCTTCTTTTCTTAACGCAGTTGAGTCGAACCGCTCGTAAACATTTAACCCGATTAAACTCTTTTAATCAGGTTACGTTTTGAAGAATTTTTGAACAGGTTATTCAAACAATAACCCAGTTAACTTGATAAGTGCGGCCGCAGCTACTGTTAATAGTGGTTTGCTTGGACTGCTGAGTAGACTTTTCTTCTTTTCTTTTATCATGCGCTAGAGAGATTGCTTCACTTTAAGGGCAGGTGGGGGGACGACCTGTACTTGGGAATGAACAAAAAAGGCCCAACTGTAGTCTACAATAATAAAGGCTTCTTGTTTCAACTGAAGAGCAAGCCATTTTCAAATTTACAACAACAAACAAGTGAATGCACCTTGCAACGAAACTGAGGCTCCTATTCTACCCCAACTGACGACTCTTTAAGTAAGAGGTGACCAGGCGTCGGTTTGAACTTCTTTTTACTAAACATTTTTCATCATCATCATCATTATTATTCATTTAGCTCTGAACTCTGGCTATTCTTATGCCAACATACATCCACAGAGTGAGTCATAATAAATGACCCTGGGTCCCTTGCGGACACTCTCCTGGCACTTAGAAAATAAGCACCTTCCTCAAAATCCTGGCCGTTTTTGATAACGTGGTTCTCAGTAGCGTATAATTCTAATCTTTATTCCCAGCTTGCCAATCCATTGTCCAAGTTTCTTAGCAGCACTTCCAAGAACCCCGACGAAAACCGGTACTACGTCCACCTAGCCACATTCTTCTAATTTCTCTCTTGAAATCCTGATTTTCTATATTTTTTCAAATTCCATTTCATGTGACCTCCTATATCCAGGTATAGTAATGTCCCCGATTATACAAGTTAAATTTAGTCTTCTTGCTTCAACGATGTTATGTCATTGGATGTTCATATCCCAAAGTAACTTTACTTCACCATTTCCACATAACCTTCACAACGCCATTTTCTCTTTCCCTCCAGTTGGTTAATTCACACAACTTCCAATGTAAAATTTTTGACACATTATCATGCCGCTTTTTTTATTAGTCCATCTCTTTTAAACTTGTTTTTGCTGACATTTTCTTCAGTTTCAATAACACCAACAGCTTTTGTATCTATTAACAATTCTTTTGTTGCATTATCAAGATACCACCCAAAGTTGTTGTCTCACTCCGTACGCAACTTTCGCATTTTATAATTAAAATTATTCCCCGCCCGCCTTTTATTTTGCTCTAAACAATCTCTCAACATCTCCTTTTGGGTGTAGTGCACCGTTCATTGCCATCGTCTTTCTCGTGACCCTGCTCAATGATCTAACCCCTTTCTTCGTCCGTTCTGCCTGCTCCATACCTGGAAACAGCCAATGCTCATTCGTTAATCGCTGATGTCTTATTCTTACCGTTCAAATATGATCTTAATACAAGTCTCAATCTCTTCTTGTACTATCTGGTAAACTGTTCTTTCATTTCCCCTTCCTTAATCTTTCAGTGCGACCTCGTCAATATTCTACATTCTTTGGCTATCCGGTAAAACAATTCCACCTATTATTATACCACTTTCCCATATCTTAGTATAAACAATCCGCATTTTTTTATACCAAATTCCATTTCAATATCGCTGAGCTGACAAATTGAACAGTCTGGACCAGCGAGTTTTTTTTTTTTTTGTGTAATCGTTCCCAAACAACTTACGGTCATCCATGAATAAAAGATGGTTGCCCCTATGATGTCTGCTTCCCCACTCGTAGCAACCTTTAGCCTTTCTTAGGACCAATGTCAAAGGGAAAACACAAACAGTGATGGAGACATACTGTTGCCTTAGAATATTCCTCTTCTTATATTTACGTCACCCAGGTTCTCTCCACACTACATCAACTCCACTTTCCATGCTTGCATACTCTCCGCTAGGAACTTTCTAAGATTCTCAGTCAGATTCTCACTCTCCTATCCAACTGTGTGGGATCATATCGTAGTCAATCCAGGCAATCTTCTGTTGATCTCTCGTTAAATTTCTTTAAGTCATTCCGCATCTCTGTTGGGCTTTTTGCTCACACCTCAGATGTCGTTCCAAAATTCCTTGCTCTCTTCAGCATCACGTATCACATCTTCGTCCCTGGTCTCACCATATAGGGTTTTATAAACTTTCTTTTGGCTTTCGGAGAGGCGGTTCGGTCTGTATTGTGTTATTCTTTGTTCGTGCGTTTGATATTGGCACTCTTTGCAACTATAAGCGATATTTCAGTACTTTTGTTGTAGTTTTTCTTCTTCTAGCTCTTCTTCTTCTTCTTCCTGTTCTTCTTCCTCTCCTTATTATTAATACTATTATGATTAATTATTATTATTATTATTATTATTATTATTATTATTATCATTATTGTTATAAAGACAGTGCCTTTATTAGTTTGCTTACTTTGACTAAAACGAAACTTCTCTAGACATTTTTGTTTTAATTGTTAAGAAAAGGCCAGGGTATACTTTGAAATAGATTTAGTTGATGTTATATGCTATGTCGGTGAACTTCGATTTGGTTCACAGAGGTAGACGTATACTATTCGTCGTATCAATACAGAGTGACCACAGGAGATAATAAAGATTTTTTCAAAGGAGCAGGATTATTGTGTGACCTTTGTCGCAAGCTCTGCATGCTGCCTGCGGGAGGTAAGCTTTATTGTCGTACTATGATTAAGAGTGGTGATATGACGCCAAGTGATTAACTGACCGAAAACCCTTTATTTGGCATCTATATTTATTACACCAATGTAGCCAACGTGGTAAATACTTGCGTTTTGATCAAGATGGCTGGTCATTTGATTGCCAAGTTAAATTTTAGGCGTCTTTATGCACCGAAATAACGTGGGAAAAGGAAATGAAGAAGGCCTATTATATCCGAAAAAGCTATCTAGCCATTTTGAGATTAAGTGGACAGTCCCTAGTCTTGGCGTGCGCAGATAGCTAATCAAAATGCAATAGTTTGATGAGGGTGATTTCCTGGCAAGTTAACGTACTTGCTTGAAATATAAAGAATTTCATACTTGCTTGAAGGTAGCCGTGTTCGGGGAAGACATATCAACACATTTTCTGCGATCAGGATCACCTCCCCACCGCCCAGTAAATCGGTGATGCACAGCCCTGTCATCCTAAGGAATTAATTCTCAGTTAAGGATGGGGAGAGGAATCTGTGCAACTGATTACCTCATTTTCGTTAAGATCACCAACCTATTCCCATTTGGATGGCGATTCGCAGCGATTTCAGAGAAATAAATACAAATGCTGTTAATTGGGAACAGAAATAAACACAACTATGGAGATGAGTAAAAATGTGGTTCAGTCGGGAATTGAACCGGGGTCTCCAGATTACTAATAGGATGCCTAGACCACTCGGCCACTAAACCAACCACGATGGCAACGCGGCTGTTTATTGACCTGAAGGTAGCCAGGTCCGGGGGAGACATATCAACACATTTTCTGCAATCAGGATCACCTCTCTACCCCCCCTCCCCCCTTAGGCAACCAGTGATGAACAGCCCTATAGCCCCTGAGGAATTAATACTTAGTTAAGGATTGGGGGGGGGGCGGTCTGGGCAACTAAATACCTTTATTATCCTTAGGATCACCAACCTGTTTCCATTTGGATGGCTATCCACAGAGATTTCTGACAAATAAATACAAATACCGTCACTTGGGAACATAAATAAACATAACTAAGGAAATTAGTGAAAATGTGGTTCTACACTGTTTGGCTAATTCAATAAATATGGCGGGAAATTAGCCATAGCCATAACATTGTGACAATTTTAATGAAGTTACGAAGGGTTTTCATTGGAAAGCATCTTTTAAAATATAGATTGAATTTATGGTGTCAGTAAACTCGACCTCTAATTCAAAATTTGGCTCCAACTTTCAACGTAAAACTAACATTACTCCAAGTGGATTTTGTCAGACTATGTTCCTGCTAAGTCTCGTCTCATTCGGAATATTCCATCGAATTCTGTATTCTGAAAAAAAACACCCATTTCTGACCACTGTAATAAATCTGTGGGTGGTTGGATTGCGAGACTTAGCAATCAGGTTTGTTTGCCACAGAGCTATAAGCTTGGCTTCGGTAATCAATGACTCAAAGAGATATCTCTCATTAAACTGCCATTAATCTTCCAACTTCGATCATCAGTTCATTGTATTTTCAACGTGTACTGCGAGTATGCCAGCAGTTTCCGGATATATTCGTGTCGTTTACTGTTTAAGGTTACTTTAAAGGGTCTTGGTATGCCTCTAGTCTCTTAGAAAGTTTAAAGAGGTCAGCTTTCGAATTGGTTTTGGACTTCTCAGGATCCTTACCTTTCTTCAATAGCTGTGAATTCAGTTACTCTACACTTGACTTACCTTAACAACCTTTAGCACCCGGCAATCATACAATTAACCAACTCAGGCCCTGTTTACGAGGGCAACCCTGGTGTTAGGGTTACCCTAGCACTCGCATATTTTTTCCTTTTTTGCATGACGTGTTTACAAGGCAGGTAGGGTTACCCTAGCGCTAGGGTAACCCTACCTGAGCGCTAGGGTTACCCTACCAAGAGGGTTACCCTACCTGCCTTGTAAACTCTCTGCTAGGGAAAACTCGCCTACCCGGGTCAACTTTCCGCCGTCATGGGTGACCAGTAATCGTGCCAATTTAAACGGTATTATCTAATTTCTGAGCTTAATTATATACATCTGAAAAATAAAAAGTTATTTTCTGTCTACGGTGATAATATTTTCCCTTTTTTTCGTGAATTTAACGTGTTTTCCATAGAGAACTTCAAGATTATTTCAAATCTTGGACCGTTACAAAGAATGTCACGCATGTCAAAACACGTCAGCAAAGCTGGTAAAGTTGATCCGGGTGATACCTGTGAAATTTGCTTGTAAACCAGAGCACAAGGGTAACCCTCTCTCCTTGTAAATAGGCCCTCATTCAAGAAATCGAGCGCCGACTTGAGTGGTTTTGGTTTACGATCCACTATAGCGATTCAGGATCTTTAGACGTGGCCATCATGCCAAAAGATTAAAATTCAGGCGAAGGAGACGATAATAGATTATAAAAAGAACAAACATAGCATCAAAGAAAACCTGCAAAACATAGAGAAATGCCAACATCGCCGCCATTTTCCCGAAACGCGTTTCCATTTGCCGTCAGAAATGACTGAAGCAAATGATTAAGACTGGCTATACAGTGACTTTTTATATTTTACGTAGGAAAATAATTTTTTTTTTTCAACTAAGTATTATTAATTTAAAACAGCTATCAAGTGTTGTTTATTTTGCTGAAAAAGGTAGTCACATAATTGTACATAATAATAAAAAAACATTAAGGAAGGTGGGATCGCGCACCATTTATTTGGAAGATGCAGTTTTTGTACCATTATTCAACTGATGTTTATGTGGTTGTTTTTAATTCGTTCCAGAAACAGCTTCCTGGTCATTCAATAAACGTTTTAACTTCCAGATATACAGTATTAAGGTAATCAACTTATTATGTATATAAAGTTTTTCATCTCAGCACAAAAAATCAACTCAAATGAGGTGTTTTAAGGACTTCCAGAAAAAAAAATTAAGGAATGAATACGAATTCAGTCTTTGTCGGCAAGAGAGGATGAATTGTTCCCATACATATCTGAATGGATTTATGAAAACATGGCTTCACTTAGTGTCTAAGGGTCCTATGCTAAGTGCGTCCTTGGTACCAAGACTTTGACCCTCCCCACCCAGGACAATGGGTGAGACCAGGAACTTAAACTGGAGGAACTCCAGCTGAAAAAAGAGCAACACGATTTGGATGCAAAACGTCTACAGGCGAGCATTGATCAGCAACGCCAGTTTCAGCAACAACAAAGTGAAATGATGCGGCTAATGCAAGAACAACAACAACAGCAGCAACAGCAACTCTTGGCGTCACAACAACTGATGTTGAGACAGCTACAAGACCAAACTAAAGCACTGATGAGTTTGTTGGACAAACTTGTGAACAAATAACTACCTAATTCACTTAAAATTCACCAGTATTGCTGGTATAGCTGTCGCTTGATTTTGAAAACCAGTTGTATATTGTATTAACTATTGTCTTTGTTTTGACAAGAGTCACGACCAACGTTTTCTGTCAGCGATCAATGTTTGTATTTCAACAGTGGCACCGCATTTTTCTTGTGCCGAGGAGCCCGCCTTTTGTTATGTTCTATTATTGCAGTTATCTCATTGGATGGTGGCATATTAGAAAATATTTTTTTTTGTCTAGGACAGTTGAATAATTTTTTTTGAAAATTTGCATTCTGTTGCGTAAACTGCAATAAAATTCCGTATTTTCAGTCTGCTATAAAAGAAACTAGTGATACTTTATGTGTTCGAAAACAGGTTTTAAAAAACTCCTTAGAATAAAAAGGGCTGGGGAATCCAGGGGAGGGAGTATGTTGAGGCCAAATATTAAGCTCACATTTCTAATTTTAAAATCTCTCTTGTAGGGTTAACAGTACTCTTTACTAAAATCAGTTTAATGATTAAGACACGATCAAGTTGCATTGAAAAAATTGTGAGTTGTATTTCAGCCCCAAGGCTGTGGTCATTAATAACTAAAAAGCAGGATAAGGGGTAGGGGCGGGTGGTCAGTAGGTTGCAGGCATTACAATTTTATGTTATATATTGCTTTAGACTCGATATATTTTTCTAGGACTTTTCCTCCTTCCCCGTTGTGTTATAATGACCACAGTGCAAATATATGGCTGTATAACCTTTTGAAAATGAGTAATAACTGCAGAATACATTGGACCTCAGAAACCTAATTGAAATATTCCTGTATTTGGGGTGGATCTATTCCAAAAAACTTCCAAGTACTTGATTGATAAAGACAACTGTGAGCGTTTCTCAAGAGCGCACACACAATGTACACTTTGCCAACAGGACTTAAGCCGATTTTTAAGTTTTTCTTGAAATGTTGGGATGCAGAGTAGTTAACAATGACACCAAATAGCCATTCTACCGAAACTCTGACTTGGCTCATGGCCTTGTTGAACTGTTGCTCTGCTGCTGTCAAATGACCGCCTTTGAAGGGCCGTTGTAAATGGACACGCAAAAGGTAGGCAGGGTCGCTATAAACGCATAAGGGTGTCCCGTCCGGTGCAAACGAGTAATGCGATAATTCTTGCAGAAGTCCTGAGTCGACTAGCATACCACTATCGTGTCTCCTGCCCTTGACTGCACCAAACATACTTGCGATAAGCCCATTTGGCGCAACTACGGACTGAAACTTTATCCCACGCACCCTTTTAACAGCGGCTTTCCGTAAATATCGACCCACGGTAGGCACAAGTTCAAAATTTGATTTCGCTAATTTTTGGCTCATCGATAACCCTTAATGAGTAATGAAACATGCTGTTGTTAGTTTTCCGTTTTGCTATAGAGGAACGTTTTTGGCGATTTGCTTTGCCGATGGTGTTTCATCCTCGATCGAAACGAGTTAAAATATTTTCTGAAACGTTCGTTACAAAGTATCTTTATAAGCGTGATCATAATACATCGAAACGTACATGTATACTTATAGTTACATAATTACTTGAAAGAGAAAACTCGCAAGAAAAAAGAAAGTTTTCTGATTAGGTAATATTGGTTGTCCACGTCTTACATTTAATGTATTTATGCCTTTATTTTTGGACGGATGGTTAAATTAATAAAACACACCACTGTACTTGTTAAAGCCTGTTTCCTTTGGGCTCGGTCGTCGACGTCTTGCCGACGTCGCTCAAAAAAGGTGACTTTTGGACGATTCTGCGTTATATATTGTATCCAAACAAAATGTCTCTTCTAAATAAGACAAGTGTATTGAAAGATGTAATATAGATTGTATGCTAGAATTTGGCATGTGATGAGCGTTAAATAGAGTGTTTAAAGTGTATCTGTAGTTAACACCGCTGGCATGACGGGCCGTGTAACGCTATTTTTAACCACTGGGATGTCGCGATTTTCCGCAAAATTAGGGTTGAACTCGAGGTCTTGCGGGCTACTTAAAATCGTTTGCCCAGAGATTTGTTTCTATTTTCTGATGCGTGGGGCTTAGTGAAGCCGTAGAAAGTCAATTTGCGAAATTCTAAGTTATAGCGCATTGTAAAAATTTGCATTATTTTATCCCTATAATTTTAAACGTTAGAAATTGTCAATATAGCCTATTTTTAACAATACCTTTTTGGCCACAAAATTAGTGCAGCTTTCACAAATTTATCGTCTTATAAGAAAGAAAGGGTCATTAAAACTATTTGTGTTTTCAAAGGCTACCAAATCGTCGTGGTTTGACGTACGAGTCAATGAAATTTGTGTAAAATTTCGTTTTACCGGAAGTGGATTTTGAGCTCCGAACGGGCAAAATGAGTTTTCTCGAATTTTCACAAAAGAACACGTTATTTGAGAAAACTAACTACAGCATGTTTCATTACTCATTAAGGGTTATCGATGAGCCAAAAATGAGCAATTCGAATTTGGAACTTGTGCCACAAAAAGTCGATTTTGGTCGATATTTACAGACAGTCTCTCTTAAGTCCGTTTTAGAGAATTCTTTAGTTTTCATCTGGCTTACATAAGGATCTCACTGTTCCGTCTTTGAAACCCCAACAGTTTTCGAGTAGAGCTCCTTTATCATGTATAGTGGCAGCAAAATGACGGAGACGGTCCCTGGAAAGCCATGGCTGATTTAAATCTGCGAGGAGGTGGCTATATTCATCGAACAAATAGTCCATCATTCGGTTTGTAGTCACGCAAAGTTGTGGAACTGGTCTCTCGAATCGAGCAACCATATCTGCAAATCGACACGGGTATGCAAAACACTTCAACAGCACACTCAAAGCCTCCGTTCCGTCCACAAGAACGCCATTGGGGCATTTCATTATGTCTGGAATATCAAGAACTTCTCCGAGTAAATAAATATCGTTCTTGAAAAACCGAAACTCAGTCTTACACTCATCATCTGTCATAGAACCAAGATCGAAGCGACCATACTTCCAATAAGGAAATTCGAGATTTTCAGAAGAATTTAAATCGTACAACAGGGCAAACTCTGTCTCATCAATGCTTCCATCTTGATAGGCAAACAATAAAGCTTCCCTTGCCTCTCTGAATGTTGCCATTTATGATATATAACACCAGGTATAAAACGAAAATGTGTTTAGCGGAGTTTAAAGGATTTGCACAGCTCTGTCTCTGTCGTCGCGTTCGCATTCGTAACTTTGTTTTTCCCGCGTTCGTGACGGCGTTCTCGCCGCGGGCCCTTCTCGGTTTCGGTGTTTTCAAACTGCGTCGCGTTCTGGTTCGTAAAGTCCCTACTATTAACGATGGGAGCCGGCGCGTTGGAGATGCGCGCGGGGGAAGACGGGAGGAGTAGAAAGGGGAGACGACGTCGCTTCTTTTGCCCTTTTCTCCTTCCAGTCTTTACCTAAGCCTGGATGCCAGGCAAGTTTTCCACGACCGCCGATACGCGACCGCGTACAAATAATAGAGACGAGTCAGTTGGAACAGGCCCGTGTATTTCTGTCTGATTTCCTTAAAATGTAACCACTGGGTTTTCGGCTGGTGCCGGGCACAGCCCGGCTCCAGAGCCAGCCCGGTGCCCAAAAATGTAGGGGAGTTGACGTCTTGGTCGGTACAGCTGGATAGCCCAGGGACTGCCCTAACAGTGGGTGGGTGGATCAGGTCTTGGGCTCAAAACTAGTGGTGTAGGGAGGGGGCAACCCCTTCAGTAGGCAGCAGTGTTCAGTGCAGGCTTTGACTGGCGAGTACCTTGGTATTAATTTGCCCTAGCCAGCTGAATCAGGCCTCTGCTGAGAATGATGATCATGATAATTGCAGAGCTCAGGGGGAGGTGCAGACATTTTGTTTGGATACAATATATAACGCAGAATCGCCCAAAAGTCGCCTTTTTTCAGCGACGTCGGCAAGACGTCGACGACCGAGCCCAAAGGAAACAGGCTTTAACAAGTACAGTGGTGTGTTTTATTAATTTAACCATCCGTCCAAAGGCATAAATACATTAAATGTAAGACGTGGACAACCAATATTACCTAATCAGAAAACTTTCTTTTTTCTTGCGAGTTTTCTCTTTCAAGTAATTATGTAACTATAAGTATACATGTACGTTTCGATGTATTATGATCACGCTTATAAAGATACTTTGTAACGAACGTTTCAGAAAATATTTTAACTCGTTTCGATCGAGGATGAAACACCATCGGCAAAGCAAATCGCCAAAAACGTTCCTCTATAGCAAAACGGAAAACTAACAACAGCATGTTTCATTACTCATTAAGGGTTATCGATGAGCCAAAAATGAGCGAAATCAAATTTTGAACTTGTGCCTACCGTGGGTCGATATTTACGGAAAGCCGCTGTTAAAAGGGTGCGTGGGATAAAGTTTCAGTCCGTAGTTGCGCCAAATGGGCTTATCGCAAGTATGTTTGGTGCAGTCAAGGGCAGGAGACACGATAGTGGTATGCTAGTCGACTCAGGACTTCTGCAAGAATTATCGCATTACTCGTTTGCACCGGACGGGACACCCTTATGCGTTTATAGCGACCCTGCCTACCTTTTGCGTGTCCATTTACAACGGCCCTTCAAAGGCGGTCATTTGACAGCAGCAGAGCAACAGTTCAACAAGGCCATGAGCCAAGTCAGAGTTTCGGTAGAATGGCTATTTGGTGTCATTGTTAACTACTCTGCATCCCAAGATTTCAAGAAAAACTTAAAAATCGGCTTAAGTCCTGTTGGCAAAGTGTACATTGTGTGTGCGCTCTTGAGAAACGCTCACAGTTGTCTTTATCAATCAAGCACTTGGAAGTTTTTTGGAATAGATCCACCCCAAATCCAGGAATATTTCAATTAGGTTTCTGAGGTCCAATGTATTCTGCAGTTATTACTCATTTTCAAAAGGTTATACAGCCATATATTTGCACTGTGGTCATTATACCCCAACGGGGAAGGAGGAAAAGTCCTAGAAAAATATATCGAGTCTAAAGCAATATATAACATAAAATTGTAATGCCTGCAACCTACTGACCACCCGCCCCTACCCCTTATCCTGCTTTTTAGTTATTAATGACCACAGCCTTGGGGCTGAAATACAACTCACAATTTTTTCAATGCAACTTGATCGTGTCTTAATCATTAAACTGATTTTAGTAAAGAGTACTGTTAACCCTACAAGAGAGATTTTAAAATTAGAAATGTGAGCTTAATATTTGGCCTCAACATACTCCCTCCCCTGGATTCCCCAGCCCTTTTTATTCTAAGGAGTTTTTTAAAACCTGTTTTCGAACACATAAAGTATCACTAGTTTCTTTTATAGCAGACTGAAAATACGGAATTTTATTGCAGTTTACGCAACAGAATGCAAATTTTCAAAAAAAATTATTCAACTGTCCTAGACAAAAAAAAATATTTTCTAATATGCCACCATCCAATGAGATAACTGCAATAATAGAACATAACAAAAGGCGGGCTCCTCGGCACAAGAAAAATGCGGTGCCACTGTTGAAATACAAACATTGATCGCTGACAGAAAACGTTGGTCGTGACTCTTGTCAAAACAAAGACAATAGTTAATACAATATACAACTGGTTTTCAAAATCAAGCGACAGCTATACCAGCAATACTGGTGAATTTTAAGTGAATTAGGTAGTTATTTGTTCACAAGTTTGTCCAACAAACTCATCAGTGCTTTAGTTTGGTCTTGTAGCTGTCTCAACATCAGTTGTTGTGACGCCAAGAGTTGCTGTTGCTGCTGTTGTTGTTGTTCTTGCATTAGCCGCATCATTTCACTTTGTTGTTGCTGAAACTGGCGTTGCTGATCAATGCTCGCCTGTAGACGTTTTGCATCTAAATCGTGTTGCTCTTTTTTCAGCTGGAGTTCCTCCAGTTTAAGTTCCTGGTCTTTTCCCGCTGTTTTGGACAGGAACCACATGGTCTCGCTGCCACTTCTTCGTTCTCTTTTCTTTACTTTTTCCTGATCATTTTCGCCTGAGTGTCTCTTCATCGTCTCCGACACTTTCTCAAGTGCTTTAAGTCTCATATCTGTCTCTATAAGTCTCATATCTGTCTCTATCTGTCTCATATCTATCAGCCTTTCCTTTCACACTTTCGTCGTCCTCTTTCATTTCTGCATTAGCTGTTTCTTCGAGAGCCATAATTTCTTCCACCGAGTTTTCAAGTTCTGTGGGCTCGGGTGGCGGGATGCCCGAGCTCCTTTCCTCAGCTCTCAATTTCTTTTTGATTCAGTTAATTAAAATACCCACATGATCCCTTACGGACCTTTTATCCACAGCAAAGACAGGCTTTTGACAGGTATTCAAAGTGTTGGCTATTCTATCCCAAATTTCGCTTCTTTGCGACGAACCCTTTCTTGTTTTGAACGGATTCTCGGAAACAACCTATCTGCATAACAGGACATCTTGCTCGCTTGTCCAGTACATCACATTACTGCGTGAAAAAAAAAAACAGTCTGTTTCAGTTTGTTTTCAATGAAGAACATAAATACAAAGTTTAAACTCACTTCAATCTTATAGTTAAGCAGGACAGGAAATTGAATCTTCTAATAAACTAAACTGGACTTACTTGCCAGTTTTCGACTTTGGTATCGAACTCGGCGGGTCTGCGTGTTGGCCATTCATCATAGCTGTAACCAATTGACCTGCAGTAAAAGGCAAATTAAAATGTTTGTTTTGTATTTTTTTACAATAAATAACATTTTTATGGACTTAGATTTGTCTATAAGGTAGCAAAAGAGAATTTAATTCTAGGTCAAATTCAGTAGAAACTACTCACGTTTTCTCGAAACGCTGCAAGTGCCAACCTCGTGTTCTGAACGTGAAGAAGACGCGTTGCAGTTTAGCGCCAAGCATGCGCAGTGAAGCACTTTGTGAGCAAATTACTTCCGGTGACGTTTCAGGCTGCGTCGACCTCCGTTCCGTCCACAAGAACGCCATTGGGGCATTTCATTATGTCTGGAATATCAAGAACTTCTCCGAGTAAATAAATATCGTTCTTGAAAAACCGAAACTCAGTCTTACACTCATCATCTGTCATAGAACCAAGATCGAAGCGACCATACTTCCAATAAGGAAATTCGAGATTTTCAGAAGAATTTAAATCGTACAACAGGGCAAACTCTGTCTCATCAATGCTTCCATCTTGATAGGCAAACAATAAAGCTTCCCTTGCCTCTCTGAATGTTGCCATTTATGATATATAACACCAGGTATAAAACGAAAATGTGTTTAGCGGAGTTTAAAGGATTTGCACAGCTCTGTCTCTGTCGTCGCGTTCGCATTCGTAACTTTGTTTTTCCCGCGTTCGTGACGGCGTTCTCGCCGCGGGCCCTTCTCGGTTTCGGTGTTTTCAAACTGCGTCGCGTTCTGGTTCGTAAAGTCCCTACTATTAACGATGGGAGCCGGCGCGTTGGAGATGCGCGCGGGGGAAGACGGGAGGAGTAGAAAGGGGAGACGACGTCGCTTCTTTTGCCCTTTTCTCCTTCCAGTCTTTACCTAAGCCTGGATGCCAGGCAAGTTTTCCACGACCGCCGATACGCGACCGCGTACAAATAATAGAGACGAGTCAGTTGGAACAGGCCCGTGTATTTCTGTCTGATTTCCTTAAAATGTAACCACTGGGTTTTCGGCTGGTGCCGGGCACAGCCCGGCTCCAGAGCCAGCCCGGTGCCCAAAAATGTAGGGGAGTTGACGTCTTGGTCGGTACAGCTGGATAGCCCAGGGACTGCCCTAACAGTGGGTGGGTGGATCAGGTCTTGGGCTCAAAACTAGTGGTGTAGGGAGGGGGCAACCCCTTCAGTAGGCAGCAGTGTTCAGTGCAGGCTTTGACTGGCGAGTACCTTGGTATTAATTTGCCCTAGCCAGCTGAATCAGGCCTCTGCTGAGAATGATGATCATGATAATTGCAGAGCTCAGGGGGAGGTGCAGACATTTTGTTTGGATACAATATATAACGCAGAATCGCCCAAAAGTCGCCTTTTTTCAGCGACGTCGGCAAGACGTCGACGACCGAGCCCAAAGGAAACAGGCTTTAACAAGTACAGTGGTGTGTTTTATTAATTTAACCATCCGTCCAAAGGCATAAATACATTAAATGTAAGACGTGGACAACCAATATTACCTAATCAGAAAACTTTCTTTTTTCTTGCGAGTTTTCTCTTTCAAGTAATTATGTAACTATAAGTATACATGTACGTTTCGATGTATTATGATCACGCTTATAAAGATACTTTGTAACGAACGTTTCAGAAAATATTTTAACTCGTTTCGATCGAGGATGAAACACCATCGGCAAAGCAAATCGCCAAAAACGTTCCTCTATAGCAAAACGGAAAACTAACAACAGCATGTTTCATTACTCATTAAGGGTTATCGATGAGCCAAAAATGAGCGAAATCAAATTTTGAACTTGTGCCTACCGTGGGTCGATATTTACGGAAAGCCGCTGTTAAAAGGGTGCGTGGGATAAAGTTTCAGTCCGTAGTTGCGCCAAATGGGCTTATCGCAAGTATGTTTGGTGCAGTCAAGGGCAGGAGACACGATAGTGGTATGCTAGTCGACTCAGGACTTCTGCAAGAATTATCGCATTACTCGTTTGCACCGGACGGGACACCCTTATGCGTTTATAGCGACCCTGCCTACCTTTTGCGTGTCCATTTACAACGGCCCTTCAAAGGCGGTCATTTGACAGCAGCAGAGCAACAGTTCAACAAGGCCATGAGCCAAGTCAGAGTTTCGGTAGAATGGCTATTTGGTGTCATTGTTAACTACTCTGCATCCCAAGATTTCAAGAAAAACTTAAAAATCGGCTTAAGTCCTGTTGGCAAAGTGTACATTGTGTGTGCGCTCTTGAGAAACGCTCACAGTTGTCTTTATCAATCAAGCACTTGGAAGTTTTTTGGAATAGATCCACCCCAAATCCAGGAATATTTCAATTAGGTTTCTGAGGTCCAATGTATTCTGCAGTTATTACTCATTTTCAAAAGGTTATACAGCCATATATTTGCACTGTGGTCATTATAACACAACGGGGAAGGAGGAAAAGTCCTAGAAAAATATATCGAGTCTAAAGCAATATATAACATAAAATTGTAATGCCTGCAACCTACTGACCACCCGCCCCTACCCCTTATCCTGCTTTTTAGTTATTAATGACCACAGCCTTGGGGCTGAAATACAACTCACAATTTTTTCAATGCAACTTGATCGTGTCTTAATCATTAAACTGATTTTAGTAAAGAGTACTGTTAACCCTACAAGAGAGATTTTAAAATTAGAAATGTGAGCTTAATATTTGGCCTCAACATACTCCCTCCCCTGGATTCCCCAGCCCTTTTTATTCTAAGGAGTTTTTTAAAACCTGTTTTCGAACACATAAAGTATCACTAGTTTCTTTTATAGCAGACTGAAAATACGGAATTTTATTGCAGTTTACGCAACAGAATGCAAATTTTCAAAAAAAATTATTCAACTGTCCTAGACAAAAAAAAATATTTTCTAATATGCCACCATCCAATGAGATAACTGCAATAATAGAACATAACAAAAGGCGGGCTCCTCGGCACAAGAAAAATGCGGTGCCACTGTTGAAATACAAACATTGATCGCTGACAGAAAACGTTGGTCGTGACTCTTGTCAAAACAAAGACAATAGTTAATACAATATACAACTGGTTTTCAAAATCAAGCGACAGCTATACCAGCAATACTGGTGAATTTTAAGTGAATTAGGTAGTTATTTGTTCACAAGTTTGTCCAACAAACTCATCAGTGCTTTAGTTTGGTCTTGTAGCTGTCTCAACATCAGTTGTTGTGACGCCAAGAGTTGCTGTTGCTGCTGTTGTTGTTGTTCTTGCATTAGCCGCATCATTTCACTTTGTTGTTGCTGAAACTGGCGTTGCTGATCAATGCTCGCCTGTAGACGTTTTGCATCTAAATCGTGTTGCTCTTTTTTCAGCTGGAGTTCCTCCAGTTTAAGTTCCTGGTCTTTTCCCGCTGTTTTGGACAGGAACCACATGGTCTCGCTGCCACTTCTTCGTTCTCTTTTCTTTACTTTTTCCTGATCATTTTCGCCTGAGTGTCTCTTCATCGTCTCCGACACTTTCTCAAGTGCTTTAAGTCTCATATCTGTCTCTATAAGTCTCATATCTGTCTCTATCTGTCTCATATCTATCAGCCTTTCCTTTCACACTTTCGTCGTCCTCTTTCATTTCTGCATTAGCTGTTTCTTCGAGAGCCATAATTTCTTCCACCGAGTTTTCAAGTTCTGTGGGCTCGGGTGGCGGGATGCCCGAGCTCCTTTCCTCAGCTCTCAATTTCTTTTTGATTCAGTTAATTAAAATACCCACATGATCCCTTACGGACCTTTTATCCACAGCAAAGACAGGCTTTTGACAGGTATTCAAAGTGTTGGCTATTCTATCCCAAATTTCGCTTCTTTGCGACGAACCCTTTCTTGTTTTGAACGGATTCTCGGAAACAACCTATCTGCATAACAGGACATCTTGCTCGCTTGTCCAGTACATCACATTACTGCGTGAAAAAAAAAAACAGTCTGTTTCAGTTTGTTTTCAATGAAGAACATAAATACAAAGTTTAAACTCACTTCAATCTTATAGTTAAGCAGGACAGGAAATTGAATCTTCTAATAAACTAAACTGGACTTACTTGCCAGTTTTCGACTTTGGTATCGAACTCGGCGGGTCTGCGTGTTGGCCATTCATCATAGCTGTAACCAATTGACCTGCAGTAAAAGGCAAATTAAAATGTTTGTTTTGTATTTTTTTACAATAAATAACATTTTTATGGACTTAGATTTGTCTATAAGGTAGCAAAAGAGAATTTAATTCTAGGTCAAATTCAGTAGAAACTACTCACGTTTTCTCGAAACGCTGCAAGTGCCAACCTCGTGTTCTGAACGTGAAGAAGACGCGTTGCAGTTTAGCGCCAAGCATGCGCAGTGAAGCACTTTGTGAGCAAATTACTTCCGGTGACGTTTCAGGCTGCGTCGTGTTCTGGTTCGTAAAGTCCCCAGTGAGTTTACCCAACAGGACGGCACAAAGAAGAGGACGGCAAAACGCTTGTGGTGATCTTCACTTAAGTTAATGTTCTCTGGTCTTTTACAAAACGACCTGTTTAAAGCAGGGTGAAGTTCGGCGGAAAAGTTTTTCAAACAAAATTATTGTCACGCTTGTCACACAAGGTTTGCCGTTTACTTTCCTCTCCCGTCCTGTTGGCTAAGCTCACTAATAGCGGAGGTCTCGCGCACGCGAAGTGCGCCCCAGCGGAGCACCATAGGTAAGTAAATCTACCCGTCCCAGAAAATTTGGTAATCGTAATCACGTGACCGTACATCGAGCGCCCGAACGAACGACCGTCCATCCGCACCACAGGGAAACCAATGTTTCCTCTCACACTTTCTAGGTAGTTTGGAAGCCCAGGAGAAATCTGATTGCAGATCGATGTTGTGATCAATTGACAGCTGTCAAAACAGTGTATCCGCTGACCAGTATCACCTGACCGTATCACGGGCTCAGGCGTCGACCCATCGAGTTCGAGTATTTTTTGAAGTTATCCGCTGCCAAGTTACTAGTTTTTAAATGATCGCAGGCTCAAGTTTATTTTTTGAAAAAATTCATTTGTAATATGTTGTGTTTATGTCACTATGGCACCGAACTATTAAGATTTTGATTTCAAACTAACTTCCGACGCGAAAATTCAGCCAGTTATTTAAAAATACAGGCAGGAAAGACCTTTTCTTTCCATGGTCACGCGTTGGTCGCACTATGTGTCCAATTTTTATGCTCTGATTGGTCATAATTTGACAGGTGAGTTCATGCGGATACTTTATGCAGCATCTTGAAACTTGTTTACTTTGACAGCTGAAGCTGACAGAGTTTGTGTCAACTTGTGATGTTTTTAACTGTCTTTTCCACTGGATATACAAAATGAAATACAGCTGCTATCAAGAGTCTTCTGTTATTCATAGCTGGTTTGTTTATTGGGTTTTGTTTGAGAAATGCGTCGCTTATGAAAGTCGGAAATCCGATTTTGGTTGGCATCGTTTTTGTTTTTCACCTTGCTTGAAGCGAAATGTTAAAGAGGGTTAAAAACTCTCAAGCGATTCTGGCCTTACTTGATAGCTTTCAGGGGCTGCATCTCGAATGGTAAGCCTGAATTATCTATAAATTTCATGAAGTCAAGCGTAGTTTATGAGGCAGGTTTATGCACGTTTTTAAGATTTGAGACAATGATCTGACCGAGAATCAGGTTTGATTTAAACTTACAGAACTTTATAAAGCCTTTAGATATATTTTTTCACTGTAAATAGAAAGAAAACGTTCCGGGAAATATTTAGTTATAAATTTGGCCGTAGAAAGAAAGCTTTGAGCGAACTTCTCGCCTCGAGTTCATCTTTGAAAAAAACAAGCACCGGGAAGCCGGCTTAAAACATAAACTTTTGACTCAGGATTTTAAGTAAACATAATAAATTCTTTATTATGTTGAAGCGTAACTCTAATAATGTTCATTTAAACACTCCCACACAGCTCCCACTGCAAATTTGGCGCTTGTCAAAAGTGAGAACCGGCTGGCCGTATGGGTGATTTTGGAATTTTTTTAAACGGTCTGGCGAAAGGCCCACGATTGATCATCCTGAATATTGAATGAGTGCAATTTGTCTTGAAAAATTGCGAAATACTGCATCCTAGGTTTGTATGATAAATACAGCGTCTCATAGTACTGTTTTACCTCAGATGTGATGCACTGAAAAGTATAAAACGGAGCCCCTGATTGGTGCGGCTTAGGGGAAGTAGATTGATGCCCGTCAATCAACTGTCAGTCTATATTGTTTATTCCGTTTTCGTTTGTATGCAACTGCGGGAAAGAATTATTCTGAATTCAGAAATGGCGGACGTAAGAGCGATTTTTAACTCTGCTGTCGAAACAAGTCTTTTGGAATCGCTGGGAGTGTCGCGTGTATTACGCAATGAGAAAGTCAAAGCAATTTCTAGACTGGCATCAGGACAAGAATTACTAGCAGTGCTAAAACGCTACCCCACTTTTACCTCAGGCCAAAATGCTGCTTGTTCCAATACGTTTTTTTTCGATTATACTCTGGAGGATTCTATGTTTTGACAAAGCAAATGTGATTTTAGCCATTTGTTTCACACTGAGAGGTCATGACACGCTTATTGATTTCCTGTGGTTTCTGAATTTCTGGTCGGCATAATTTGCCCTCTGTTGCAAGAGCATTTTGGCTCAACAAGTAAGGCTTTTAGGTCCTTTATTTTTTGTCCAAAGTGTCTCAGGATCTGAATAACTAATCGATTTTCTTCTAGTCCCTGAACGTGATGTTTTCCTGCAATGTTGTATCACGCTGGGTCCAGCTCGTTAGTGTTGTTGCAAAAGCATTTTCTTTGACCTCTTTTGAGGTCAAAATAAGGCTTTTAGGTTTTTTAATTTTCTCCAAAAGAGAAAATGAGAGAGACTTTCTTGATTTGCCTTTAGTAGCCGACGTGGAACCTTCAATCGAGGGTGACTTAGCTGCTCGCGAATTGACACGGATGGATTTTGATTTTCTCCATGCTGGTCTGGCTTTGTGTCCTACGTGTAATGAGTATGCTTGCTGCTCTTAACCGGGGTACTTGCCGTGGATGTAATTGCAGCTTTGATGAACTGGTAAAACTGGCCCAAGTTATGAATGTTCCGGCCACATGGGTTACAGACCCGATAAGAATATTGTATGAAATGAACAAACGGCAATCCAACTTCTCTTCAACTTTCGGCTTACACAACCGCAAAGCACTCCTTTTGTTGTGATGGCCTGAACAGATTTTCTGAGAACAATGGCCTTGCTTTCCAAGATTGCTTCCAAATTTAACTTTAAACGAAGTCGCACATAACCTACAATAATCACTGACACTCGAATCAGACGACAACACTTTCCTTCCCGTAAACTAGCAGCTTGTATAATGTACACTACAGATGTGTTTATTTTTATTTTATCGAAGTGAAGAGAGCTTGCGGTGCAATAGTTCTTCGGTGTTGATTGGTCGGCTACTCATTTCCGGAACAGCGGTCAAGCGCGACTAATTAGGGGGTGTTTCTCATTTTCACAGTGTCTTCGTGCAGGCGTTTCCTCTTCTCTCTCCCCGCCCCCTACCCCGCTCCTTTTGACTCGCCCAATTTTCTCCCCTCTTGTAGAGTTTCAACATGCGCTTTCGCAAGCAAAACATTCGCGCACCCGAAGAAAACGCCTGCACTGCAGGCTAGGTTAATACTCTCCCCCAGATTTGTTGGCAAGATTTTGTAAAGAACTTGTCGATCACAAATAATTCGGCCTGAATGTGATCGAAGATGATTGCTATTTTGGGGTGTACATATAAGGCTATCAAGTCAATGTAAGATGTTTCACTCTAAAATCACTTAGCCTTTCCCTCAAATTAAGTCACATGAATGTGCGCTTATAATAAGTTAACTGGTTTGTGGATTACAGGTTTGTTTGATTTAATAAATTATAAATGTATTAATGAAAGCTTCGATTCTAGACCTGGCTAAATCTATATATTAAGTAAGAGAAGCAAAAGAGAAGGCTGGGGATACGTCAGCTCTCTCGATTTTCCCTCTTTAATTTTCAAGAGAGATAAAAACAAACCACTGGGGATTAGTCAACTCTTTCAATTTTTCAATCTCTTCTTGCTTTGATACCTGTTGAAAACATATTTTAAGAACGATACCTGATTGGTCGTTTCGGATGACTTCATGTACTTTAAGTACTGGTTTGAGTAATACACGAAGCGCAATAAGCACAAACAAGATGGTTAGCCACGGAAAATAGCATACAGCCTTAATTGTAGCCTGCGAACGGCAGACGTTTCTCCTCGCTCATCGCCGCTGAGGGACGTTTTCGCGAGGAGGAAAGTCTGCGACTCAGCGACAGAAATTCCATACAGATGACATAAAATCTGTTCGGGATCCGGTCAGAAGTGCTAATTGGTCGACGGAGTAGTTTCATTGTTCTAGCTATTGTTTACGAATAACAGACTCAAAAGACAAAAAGCGGCAAAGGTCAAATGTAAACGCGATGAATCTCTAACAAAACAGTCAATATTTGTGGAATATAGTCTTCTCTAGAAGAAGCATTTGAGTTTTGCTGGAGCTCATTCGCAGGTGAACACAATTCTTTTCCAAAATCGACCAGGAGAAACGTAAAATTGAGCAAATTTACATTTGGAACCCCATGACTACCGGATTTATTAAGTAAACATTGATTTACGTCATCAGTATGGAATTTCTGTCGCTGAGTCGCAGACGTTCCTCCTCGCGAAACGTCCCTCAGCGGCGATGAACGAGGAGAAACGACTGCCGTTCGCAGGCTACCTGAATTGCTGTTTTTTGTACACTTGGTGCTCAAACCATGCAGCTTTAAGGGTTGCTAAGCGATATCTTAAGTCTGGATGGTAACCGAGATCACTCGTTCGTGTACTAGAAGAGGGACCTTTAAAGCGTGAGTGCAAACTAAAAATTCATTGATAAAAATTTCGATGACGCATGGGTGTCCTCTCTTATACCTAAGCTTCCCATGTCAGCAAGAGAGGGCGTCAGTTAACTTCGTCAGAACTTACATGGGACTACGCGGACATTAAACTCGAGGCTAAATACTAAGAAAAAAACCGTGTTTGTTAGGCTACATTGAATGCCCTTATTTTGTCAAGACAAAAATTGGCAAAAATTGCGTTTTGGTTTTTTTCACCAGAATTTATTTCGTATTTTTCTCAGATTAATGTAATTCTCAAAATATTCTAACTTGTTTTTAAGTTTTACATTGATCTTCTTTTCCTTTTCAATTTAAGGGAACTTTCAAAGGAAGGGTTGAAGCCTACAACCAGGACCTCGTGATGTGGATGTGTTTTGAAGGAGAAGTCCAATTTCCCTGAAATTCCAAACAGAGGGCTTGATATCAAAAGATCTGCCTTTTACTTAATTTTGTATGAACCTTTGTTTTTCGCAATCTAATAAAGACCCCATATTTGTAGTAATTTGTCACCTTTTGCGTGCCTGCCTTTGTAGTAAGAATGCGACTGTAAGCGTTGTTAAACCACGACATCCGTGATAAAACGTAACATTTTCGTCGTGATGTAAAAGAAATCAGAAATATATACACCACATGTAAAGGGGCGTAGCGTGAGGGCTTGAAGGTGCACGCACGGAAAGAAAGGCTGGACCTCCGAAGGTACTGCAAACTAAGGGGGGTCTGAAGTTATGCACCCCCAGAAAATTTTTCAAATTTAAGGGCTCAGAAATGATTTCCTGCGTTTTCCTCAGGACATTTTCAGTAGGCAGATACGAAGGAAAATGCAACAGTTAGTTGTTAATTGAAAACAACAACGCCATCAAAGAGAGGTTACAAGCAAAGGGCGAGACGTACCCTTCAGACAGGGAAATACACCAATATAACGCGAAAGATTTAGCAGTCATCCCGATTTAATGACAAAAATGCTTTCAGGAAAAAAAAATAAATATTTTTTCCCAGATTTTAGCTGTACGCACGGGCGTAAGTGCGTAATATATAAACGCTACGCTTCTGCACCACTAAAATCTCAGGTTCTCAAAATGAAAGAGTAGACTGTGAACTGCTAAAATCATGCGCTCAATGCCTACAACGAAAAATGCTATCCCGCTCATTTTTTAAATGTGTTTCTGAATGACTCGACCATTGTCGCAGCGGTGTAGAAAGGAGAAGAGATACGTTAAGTGGTTTTTCCTTCGGGAACTATAATCCCATGAAGTGTCCCTAAAAAACATAGCATCGACAGAAAACTCTTACCATTTTTTAGCACCGTAGTTGCCCTTTCTGAGAAGATATAAACCCTTGAGTCCGAGAACTTCTAACCATCCAATTTTTCAGCTGCAATGAAAACCTTTTGCTTGGGTAATTTATTAAAGCCCTCTGGGTTTTCATTTTACATTTGTCGGGGTACGCCTGGGTTATGTTTATGTCATTTACGATGACGGAAGTTCTTGGCCGTTTAAGAAGTGGATATTTCCGTCAGTCACGTTGTCAAACCCTTCGATTCAGCGTTTTCCAGACGAGAGCGGGACCGGGAAGGACAAAGGAAACATACTTGGATTCATCATAAACGGGCAGGTCGCCGATAGGCAGTTCGATTGGTTTGTGCCTGACAAGGTGAACGGGCTCACGCAAGCAGGACTCTCACGTTTGAATCAGTCAATCGAGGCCTTCGTGTACTGCATTCTCGGGGCACAGGTTAATGTGCGCAGCAGCATTCTTGGTGATGGAGGCTGATCGATTGAAGCGCAGGGCGAGTTTCTCACATTACTGCGGAGGACGTTTTCAGGCAGCCAGACCTGGCCAAGCGCGTGCAGCGCTACCAGCTGGCTGTAGACAGGGCAAAGGTGAGACTTGATTTAGCAGCGACGCCCGGAGCGTGACTGATCCCCTCTCAGATGGCGATTAATACAGAGAGAACAGTTGCTTACAACAACAAGCTCAGCCAGGCAACTTACACCAAACATGAATCTCTGGTTGAACAATGACGTAAACAAAGAGACAAAAAAGTGGGGTTACGCCTCATGGCGGCGGTCCTTCCAAAATTAACCCGCCAAACAATCACCCAGCTAATCCCATTCACAAGGAGGCAATGAAACTGAAAAAGGATCCGCCTACCAACCCATCCCCCTCCTCGCCACCCCCTCCAACGACTACAAGTCACGACATAAACAAGGCGATGCTCGTTGTGGGTGCAGTTCTTTTGACTGGGCTTTAAATTTTGAAGCGTTTTGCATTAAAAAGGCGACCACAGCAAAATTCATTAGCCAGGTGTGCTTCGTCAGAAATGAGATGGCCTGTCCTGCCGCTAGAGATGGCCAAGTTGAGAGTGTTTTTTTGATGGATTTGAATATTTATTTCTTTGCTAATAAGGAACCAAGAAGAGAGTCACCTTAGAAGGCTTATGGGTAAGAGCTAAGTTTCTTTACGATATTTACTTTATTTAATTTAAGTTAAGCTTTGTGGCCTAGAGTTGGCACCTGGCGCAGTTTTCATAAGTTCGGCTAGATATATATATATATATATATCTGTCTGGATTTCCAAAAAGGTACCTCCATGAGTTTTTTTAGCAACAGTCTCATTTGAATTTCAGTACAAAGATCCCCTAACAAGCTGCAGTAGGTAAAAAAACATATGTTTATAATTCTGTTTTTTATCTATCCCCCCCCCCCTCCCCCCTCTCCCCTACCCATAAATACCCATGATTCTCTCCTTGTCATAAAACACTATTACATTTGAAATCAGCGCGCGCGATAGAAGTTGTTTTAATTGGTTGGTTAATTTTCTGGATTCCTTTCTGGCCGCCTTCAGCAAAGTTTTCCCGAAGGCATCCTTAAGCCTTATGACGGAATAAGTCTTACGATTGGCAAAGTCTGCGTCACGCCAATATGTTATCGTATTTCGTCTCATTTTGGCTAAACAGGCCTAGGTCAAACAGGGTGAAACACTGATCTCGGGCTTGAGACGGAAAGGCATCATATTGCGAGCTTTGATGTGGGCGGTGACGAGTCTCTAGCCTCAAAAAGTAGTTTGTAGGAGTCACATCTATTCGTCGAGAGCAAAATTGATGCAGATTTCTGAGCAGGCCAGAGATTTAGTTAAAAATTGTTTTGAAGGCCGGCCTCTGTGTGTCCCTTTCAAAACGGCTCTTTTACATCCGGGATCTTGAATAAATCGACTGCTGTCAGGAGAATTTACATGTGATGATTTATGTGTAGAAAGGGAGAGTAATTCGATGATATTTGGCCCGTATTAAGTGTGGAACCATTGTGCCTAGTTGGTGGTTGTGGACAGTTTTATCAGCGTCGCGAACGTGGTTAATTGTGTGATTTCCCGAAGTTGTTGATCGACAGAATTCAGGTATGTCGTGGTGGTCGTGTAATGAGAATATTGTTTAAAAGCAAAAACACGCTTCGTGAGTGTTTAGTTGAAGTGATTTTGTCTTAGACAACCGATTCTGGGCTCAAGAAAGTTGGATTCTAGGTCTGTTTTAGTCGGGCATCTCGCTATGAGCCTCATAGTTTGAGAGACTGAGGCCCAGTTCAGACGTCGTGCTTCTGCCGTGCCGAACTTAATTGTAATTCTGTTCGACTGTAGCACGGCAGGAAAACAACTTTGATTCAGACGTCGTGCCAGAGTCGAACCAAATTCAGGATTTACTGATGCCTCGTAACAATTCTCCTCCTAACTCCCCGTGGGAACGCAATCTCGCCAAAATACATTAATATAATTTATGAATTTTGCTAAGCACGGCAGAAGCACGACGTTTGAATCGCTGCCGTGCCAGAGCCGTGTAGCACGGCAGCACTTGTCGAACTTAATTGCTTGCCGAACTTAATTCAAAAGTTTGATTCAGACGCCGTGCTTCTGCCGTGCTTTTGTCGAACTTAATTCCTGAATCTAGTACGGCACGGCAGAAGCACGACGTCTGAACTGGGCCTCAAGGGTCATAATTTCTGTGCTTTTAAGAGCGCCGGTCAGGAAAAATCGACCAAAATCTAATTTCGTGGTAAGAGTTGAAAAATCAATTTCTTTCATTTTTTGTTCATAGATAGCTTTTAGGTAGATAAGAAACCTAAAGTAGATTATTCCGCCGAAATTTTTTTTAACCTGAAATTCGCTAACATTAACTTTCCTCGCGTTCGCAAACGAAGCCGCATCGAGAAATTTGGACGCTTTCCATGAACAGAAAAATTCTTTTTCTTCCACTAAAAGATACCTTCAGGGCAATAGCGAAGCTCGTCGTACTGAAATAATTCAAAAATACGGGATAGGTTTTCAGGATAACAAAAACTCAAGTTCGTTACTCGTTTTCGACGGTAATATTTAACATGTGGTATAACTCCAAATTCTCTTAATGCTATTTAAATCAAACATTTAGACAATAATTTAAAACATACCTGGGAATTGGCTTGGGTTACTGGAATGTAATCTCTGTAACACACCATCGAAGTTCAGGAATTCTCATGGTAGGCCGGCGGTAATTGTGTAAACACTTCCAATTTCGAAACGCCCAAAAGTAGATATTTACAGCCTAAAGGCTCGTTTTCTGTACTTCTTGTAGGTTTACCCATTGCAAATTTTTTTTTTCCAATCAAAGAGTGGGGTAAGAAGGTGAAACTGGGTCAATTTTAGCCATTTTGAAACGCTGAGCCCTACCAGACGTAAATATAATAAAAATCCCCACTAAAGGCCTATGAGTAGTAAAACCAGCACAAAAATAACAGGACCCCTCAACCGGGCCCCTAAGTGTCTAGGAAGCTACAGGCTATAACTACAAAAACCTATAAATATAATCAAGAATTGTTAAAACACGATGGTCGGTTGCTAGGGCTTTTCCTCCCGCAACTTCGTAAATTCAATTGTTGGCTCACAGAGCAGTATTTTATATTCCAAATAAAGCAAGACATTAAAACATCTTAAGAAACAATTTCTTTAAATTTGTACCAATGTTAAGGTATTTTTGACGTTTCTTGAAAGTATAACGTCATAACTGATGGCTAGTTTTAGTAACATTAAAAACTTGCAAAGCACTTTTCAAAACATTACAGACATTTTTGCCACACAAAAAGAATATGTATAGTGAAAACCCCATCTCAATCGGATAAAATGGCGTAATTAAAGAAATTCAAATTTCCCCCCACATGACCATATATGGTCAAAATTAGGGGGATTTTAAACGCGAGAACAATGAATGTATTGTTGCATAAAATCAAAATTGTGCTTTTCTACTTACTTTTTTGGCTTATGTGCTGCTATGACGCGTTTTCGTCACGAAATACGTCGTTGTGACGTCATAGCACCACATACCCTAAGTAGAAAAAACTACAATTTTGATTTTATGTAACTTTGTTCTGGCTCCTGTTCCAATACATTCAATGTTCTGGCGTTTAAAATACCCCTAATTTTGACCATATATGGTCATTTGGGGGAAATTTGAATTTCTTTAATTAGCTGTAACTTAAGCCTGTTTTATCCGATTAAGATGGGGTTTTCACTAGAAATCATAGAATTCTATACAGAAAACTAATGTAAAATTTTTACCATTTCTTTCCTGAATTTTTGTTCTGATGCCAAATTTGGACATCATCTATCACGTCACAACAGAAGTCACATGGGATGAAAGAAAACCAAGAAACAAGTAACTTATCAAACAACTTCCCTGCCAAGTTTCGTCACATTCGATGCATTCTACTTCTGTCTATGGCCTAAAACTCTCAGTTTTGAGAGGTGTTTGGGAGGAAAAGCCCTAGCAACCGACCACCGTGAAAGCTGTTTTTAAAAAGATGTTTACAAGAACTTCACTACCCAGGCGTGTCAATTCCACAGAGTGTTATGTATAATGAATACGATTTTTAAAGTGAAATTCTTGTCGTTTATTTAATCCGAAGGGCGCAATGGAAAATAAAGGCGCGCTCCAGTAAGCTTTTTTGGTGACCAATAATTTGTCTTTTTCTTGATTTGTGCTGGTACAGATTTGTCGGTCTATGTATTGAAAAGTAACGTCAGACAAAGTGTGTGGTGTTCTATTAAAGTGTATAGCAACTTCACAAGTTTTCTTGTTAAAAAATTCTTAAGGAAATTCTAACACCTTCTAAAGGGAGAAAAAGCTCCTTGCCAAGCACAGATACACCAGCTTCAGGTTGTTTCAAATGTGAAGAAACCAGATGTGATCCTAGTTTGTAAAAATTTCCTTGTGAACTCTAACACATTTTCTAGCGCCCAAACTGGCAAAACCTATCTTGCAACAAACAACAAACAAAGGTTTTCGTGTAATTCCACTAATGTCGTTTATTTGGTCCATTGTAAAAAATGCAATCTTCAGTATGTTGGCTCTACCACTACTGAATTCAAAGTTAGTACGGGAAGCACAAATCATCTATGAAAACTAACAAAAAAATTTACTGGTTTGTTTCTTTATTTTTTTATTACTTTTTTATTTATTTTGTTGTTTTCTTTTGTATAAAACTGTTCAGAGTCCTCTATTTTTCCGTAAGATCGTCAAGATCGCGCGCTTTGCGTTACAGGCTGCGCCATCTTGCATGAGTGTCAAAACTACTTGGGGGGCGGGGGCGGTTTGGGAGGAAGCGAGAAAAATAGAGGGACTGTAATAACGTACATCACTGCAGCTCGCGTTTAGAAGGCGTAACAGGAATTTCATTCCTTTTACCATTCATTAATTAAGAAACTCCGCTGGCGATGAAAACAATGCGAGACACATTTAGCCTCTATTTCGCGTGTTTACAAATATCTCCTTTCGAAACAGTGATTTCATAAAGTTTCTGAGCCATTCCTCCATGTAAAATCGGCAAACATGCACAGGTGAAACATTTTCCTAATAGAAGCGCTAAGCATGCTCGCTTCACCACAGATTAAAACGGTTAAACCTCCCAATAAAAAGCCGGGCATTTCTGACAGGTCGTCTTTTTTGCTCGGCGTAGCGTCAAATTTCAGTTCGTTTGGTAGAGACTGTGTTGCAACTTTCCCTGGCCAGGCCCCTCTTCTCCGCAGAGGCCCTTTTTGTGATGTGGGGAGACTGAGGAGAAAGAAAAAGAGAGCGCGCGGGGCACGATGGGAAGGGGGGAGAGAGAAGAGAGACCTCTGCCACATAATGTGCGGTTCACTGGCCGGATTTGCGGTTCTATTGTTTTGGCTAAACCAACCGACTGTTTGGACGCTTTTAAGAGCTGCTTTGAAGATAATGCCTTTTCCCTCTTCCCATCGTCCCCCGCGTGCTTTCTATTTTTTCTATTATTGCTATTTTTATAGGGATACCCAGCGGGAGCCTCTGCGGAGGAGAGAGTGTGTTCTATATTTGTTTTAAATCCTTTTTAAAGATAAATATCTTTTTCACGAGGGAGATCCAGCCGATTAACATAAAGGTGCAGTTCATATTTTTGCTACGCGTACAAGGTAGCGGCTAGCTTTCTTGAGATAAAGCAAAGACTATAATTTTGCGTTTGCGAAAAGTTGATTTCCGTCTTATTCACTCAGGTGTACAAACCTCGCATTGTTTTTTTCAATTAAAGTTTTATCCGACTGGCAATCACACTTTCCGTCTTTTTCAACATTTAAAAACTGAAAGCCAAGGTCAAAGCACGGACGATCTTCAGCCATAATGGCGGACAGGCGAAAATATAAATTTCCCTTATTTATTCGAATAAGCGCCCAACCTCGAATTAGCGCCCACCTCGAATAAGCGCCCATGCTAAAGGCAGAAAAAGTTAATAAGCGCCCAGCCTCGAATAAGCGCCCACCCACCCCACTCCCTCCAAAAAAAACTCCAATAACAGCCTGATAAGAGATAAGAAGAGATACTCCCGAAGACGGAGTTTTCTTCAGAGTATTTTACAGAAACCTTGCTTTGCTACATCTTCGCTTTTTGTTAGTACCATTTACTGTTTTGTTGTAAAATATACTACTACACTTGCCGAGAATGGTGAAAATTAAATAAGCGCCCAGCCTCGAACAAACGCCCACCTCGAATAAGCGCCACTCTAAAGGTCCAAAAATTTAATAAGCGCCCAGGGCAGTTAATCGAATAAATACGGGAAGGGGTTAATGTTTGGCAGAGAGAGTGACGTAGCTTGCGTACATAAGTGGCGCTATAATGCACGCGTGACGTGTGCTGAGTGCCTTATGGAGATATAATGAACTGGTCTCGACCAATCCGAGAATCCAATTTTAACCTTGGTTATTTTACAATACTACCATAAGGCACATCTTGCGCCAACACACGAAGGATTTTTGGTATTCTGAAGATGAAAAATAACGTAAGCCAACATGCTTTTAAAGCAGCCCGGCCACTCTCTCCTCCACCTAGGCTCCCGCTGGATATCCCTATAAAAATAGCAATAATAGAAAAAAATGGAAAGCGCGCGGGGGACGATGGGAAGAGGGAAAAGGCGTTATCTTTACAACAGTCACCGCCTCCAAAGCGTCCAAATAGTCGGCTGGTTTAGCCAAAACTACAGAACCGCAAATCCGGCCAGTGAACCGCACATTATATGGCAGAGGCCTCTCTTCCCCTTCCCCCTTCCCATCGTGCCCCGCGCGCTCTCTTTTTCTTTCTCCCCAGCCTCCCCACAACACAAAGAGGTCTCTGAGGAGGGGAGAGTAGCACACATTATTTTAATATAATCACGGATTTGACCTCATATTCAACTAAATCAGATTCATTGCCTGCGTTAAGGGCATTTTACTACATAAGGAGGCCTGGAATTCAAAGTCATTTTCCAATCAAATAACTTAACATATTCATGATATTGGGTGATGTACTGATAGTGACACAAAAGCTAACTTCCGCAAAGATGACAAATATACCTAGCAACCTCAAATTTACGCTTATATTTCCCAAATTACGTTTTAGGTTAGAGTGATTTTGCTTGATCTGTGAAACAGGTACTAACAAATAGTGCCAAATAGCAAGAGCTAAACAAAACAATACAATTGAATTAGTGCATAATAGTACGTAGTATTCTACAACCTATTTCAAGGGTCAAGTAAAATCATTCTATCATCCCAGTCCGCTCTAGTATGGCTGCAGCCAGTGTGGTCGCTTTCTTCTCTACTGCCGTATTCCTCGGAAATGTTGCTTTCAGTGCGACAGGATTTGCAAGGGTAATTGTTTTCCTCTTTCTATATCAGCTTGGTTCATTAGCATGGCTTGATTCTTGTAACATTGAATACGCTGTTTTGATAGACACACTTGGTTTCGTTGCCATTCTCCCAATAACAATTTAGCGTTCTAATCTAAGAGATAACATTCGTGCCGAGCTACTGGTTACGTTTGTTCCAATCACATTCGCAGGAACACCACTTGGTCAATACCTGCAAGATTTCACTCCGGCGGTACTGGGCTTTAAAGGTTCTGATTGGCTCCCTGACAATAGTAGTTACAGCCTGGCAGATTCATGAGTATTGCAAGAAAAGAAGGACAGAAAAGAGACTTGAAGAGAAAAAGGAATCCAGAGTGACTGAAGACAACGCTTTGACAGCTCATGTACAGGAAGACTGAGACATCCTATTTTTTCTTCTTGATTGGTAGTCGACGATCTGGTAGCATCTGGCGACCCATTCTCCTCGCGGTTTCTCTGCCCTCGCCCGCCTTACGGCACTGGTTTCACTTCATGTAAAAGAATCCAAGACAGTCTTGGATTCAGGATTGTCCTCGCCATGGATTCCGGATTCCAATCGTTAGTGGGATTCTGGATTCCTTGAGCTGTTTTCTGGATTTAAAAGCCCAGGATTCCGGATTCTACGAGCAAAAATTTCCCGGATTCCAGAATCCAGATTTCCATACATGGGGTGACATGTTACATGATTGGTATCATGATGAGGTCGATGAGGTGTTTCAAGTATTAATACTGGTTGTAAATTACCATTAATAGAGAGAGGATTAGCATCAACAAATAATTTAACAAGGAGGTACTAAAGACAAAAGGGAGAAAATAGACTTGTACAGGAACAGTTAGCTCTGAAATGTTTTGTGTATTTGCTGCTAACCTTTGCCTTTTTTTTTTCTTTTGCTGATGAGGCGGTTTGCATGAATTGTATCCGATTTCCGTGAGTACGAAAGTAGTTCAAAAATTGCTCAGTGCTTTGCCTTCAGTCATAACAGGAACTTTTTTCCGTGTATGAAGAAGTTTAGTTTGACAAAGTTGGGAGAACTAAATTGTATTCACGAAGAAAAAATTAGTAAAAGTAACGACAGCCATCCCAAAAAATGATCAGTGTTGTCGGGAGGAAGAACAGCGGCCGTTTCGAAACACATATAAATGTTGAGATCACAGCATGTGACATCACGCAGCCTCGAACAGTTCGGATGGCCTGCTTGTGCTCGTAAAAGTGTGTAGCAAGGTTTTTCAGCATCTATGGCACTTAGGCACCCGATATTCTTCGACCCTATTTTGCTTATTCTCTCTAAGCTAGAGTACTTAAGTCCGAGAAACAGTACAAATGTAAGAAAACTAACGTATGTTACCTCGGACGGAATAGAATGAAAACAGGTTTGCTTATCATGTAACAGAACTTTTAATAAAACAATTATCAAACATCACTCGCTTCATCGTATAGTTATTTGATCTAAACGATTACACGATTTACGCAAAGCCCATCCATTGTCTTTGACTTTACTTCTGTTAAATACATACTTATAATGGTGTTTTTGTTGTTGCTGCTGTTGTCGCTGTTGTTGTTGTTTTTTATGAAAATTGCGCTAAAAATATATTCTATAAAAGGCATTAAGAAAAATTGTACTCTTGAATTAAATGGTTTTAATGTGTCTTTCTCCCCCGAGGGTTGCTTTCGAACCGTTTAATTATTATTTCCAAGTTCGAAACGCACACTGGCATAAATAACTAAAGGGTCTTGGACCTGACAAGGCCGGAAAACAACTTGCTTTATCAACTGCAGGAAAGGTATGTTTTGCTCCGTCAAAACATTACAGAAAAGTACACCAAGCATAGATAAAACGGTATTGATTGATACGGTAAGTGACGAGTATCGCTGTAACAGCAAAGATCGTGGGAACGGGTCTTTTGTGTCATAAAAGAGGCGTGCAGCAAACTGTGATGAACCAAAATTTGGGTATTTTATAACACAATGTCGAGGAAGATTAACTTTCTTTCGCACTAAGATTTATTTTGCAGTCAAACTTATCTTAAAATGTTCACGGTTATTAATTTTTGAAATTTGCTCTCTGAGCATTTTGTATGAAAGAAGGAAAAGATACTATTGGAGACTGGAGAATTTAGACGCTTTGGTAACTTTTAGTTTTGAGGGCCCCTATGAGGGAGGTGCGAGGCAATTTCTGTCAGCTAGAGCTAGAGGGGACAGTCGACAAGAGGGGACTTATTCTTGCAAATTACTGTATCAGTGGTTAATAAATGATGGTGCATCAATTGTGATTTACCATGTCACAAAACAAGAAAAAAGAAAAAGGCGACCATAGGGTGTTTCCCAGCCTCAAGAGAAGGAGGAGTGTGGCACTATTTCTGTAACTTTAATGAGGTTGTGCCTTACATATTTCCTTGCGCTCGGACATTGGGAAAGATAGGAAACGACATAGTATGGACGATGAGGGATTCGTCGCGAAAAATATACACAAGCCACGAATTTAGGAACCTTGTACTTAGGACTCAGAAAAAAACGCAACATCAGCCAGTCAGGTATAACAAGGATGACAGTAGATCTCATTTAAGCCTTGTTCTTCACACACAGAGAAAAAATACTTAGTGGTTCAACTACGAGGAAGATCGAAAGCGAACAATCAGCCTTTAGACTTAAATATTTGCTTTTAAACATTGAACACTGCCGTATAAAGTCAGCAGTATAATCGGTAAGTAAAAAATGAAAGAGAAGAGATTAATTACTCTTCATGGAACAACAATGTTCATAAAGTTCTGCCAAAGCTTTCGAAAGCCGTCGGACCTCTTTTTAGTCACTGATATTTGAAGCCTCGTTCCAATGATGAAGCTGCAAAATTGTTCGTATTACGAAGCATCAGATCCGATGCATCAGATCGGCCTAAACCCCTTGGACAACTTATAACGTTTACACAACGTAGTATTGAAACCTTCACAGTACACGTAGTATTCTTTATTGCCTCTTCACTACCCTTAGATGAAATTTCTAAGTTTCTTGATATTTCTGCTTAAGAAAAGTTCATGAAAGTGTAAATCTGTTCAATTTTTAATGAAAACGAAAATTCAGAACAGTGAAAGTAAGAATCAAACCTGGAGCGTAGTGAATGCAGTCCATCACCTATACCACTACGCCACTGAGGATCTGCTGGCGAGCATTGGTTTGATTTGAAGCTTAGTTATATAGCAACAACCCTAACCCTAAGTAGAAGTTAACCGTTTGGAATGAGTGCTCATCCCTAATCACTATTTTCGGGGCTTAACCCTAATCAGCACAGTAAGTGCTTAACCCTTATCATTATTTTCAGTGGTCAACCCTAATCTGTGTTGTTTCTTATCCCTAATCACCATAGACAGCGCTCAAAACCGAAGCGATAAGGAATACTAGGTGTAAACTTCATAAGGTGTCCCAGGAGGTTTAGACCGCGATGGGATGCTAACCGTAATACGACGAGGGCAAGAATGAGAAGGCTTGTCTTCCTTAACGTGTTTGGGCACTACACAATAGGTGCACTTATTTTCGGTGTTCATTTAGTCCAGTACAAGTGCCCAATTTTCTTAAAATTTCACTGACGTACTCTGCAGCATAATCTTTGTTCTTGACCTTTAAATTTGGGTCTGTCCAGAAAGAGATAAGGATGTCACGTGGTTTATAATTTACTGTGCACACCGTGGTTTAATGTTCCTTAAAGCACTTCCACAGTAATAAGGAAACACAACAAGTTTCTTTACATAGTTCATTGTGGCCTGTTTAAGACAAGAATGCTAACCGAGAAGACAGGTTGTAAATAGTAACACAAGATTGTGATAAAGGAGATTATTTATATTTCAGCCAAAATGAGGAAAAAGTAATATATGGAATAAGTGCATTTGTTTTATAGACTGCGCGGTCACATGACATCTAACATCGAAACTGTTTCCTGCCAAAATGTCTGAGCGAGCAACATTGCAAAAAACACCATTGCAAAAATCTATAGCGTCAGAGGGTAACAGTGCTCTGTTACCGTAAGCCTATGTGGCTATTTGTATAAAATGCCTAACTGTTTGGAAAGGAGAATGAGATCTTTTAACATTACTGCTTCAAAATTTTCCACTCTTCAACAAATCACTTAGAGACTGTTCCCTCAGCAGACAGTTAATTTTGCCTCCCGAAATTCTCGGAAAACAAAAATAACTGTTTCCCTCGTTACGCGGTAGTCAGCGGATTTTACAGAATATCTTTCCTGAAATATATGACAATGACAATGATGATGCAAGAGATAAACAGGCACTGTTTTTGGTCATTCGGTAACGTCTTATTGCAAAGTGATTGAAAAGAACTAAAGATAGACCATGCCTCTTTCACGTCGATGGGTAGCATATTGTCGAGGTCTGTGGAACGTCATATGACCTTCCATAATATGTCAATGTTCCATGTATCAATGTCTTGTTCCTGCAGGTCCTGTGGTCAGCATCATGTCAAAGACTCCAACAAAGACAATTTCATTTGTCAATCTCAAAATGATTTTCTGGGCCATCACATGTGTCAAAGGCTTGACTCCAGGGTTGGAATTTAAACGTTGTAAACTCTGCGGTAAGAGTTTATACAGTAGTGGAAAATAGGAAACAAGTTTTCATTACACAGTGTAGTTTTAAATTTATGTACAAAGCCTAGAGATTGATCCCTTATATAAAAGTTTAATGACAAAGCTATACATCATACCTGTAAATAGACTAGTATACATGTTGTATCCAGTTTCAAAAGAGTTCTAAGCATGCCCTCAAGATTATATATTGATGATCCTGGGAGCACTCCTTAATGTCATGGTTCTAGTGGCCCAACCAATATCATTAAAATGTACGGTTACCGGCCAGCTACTTGTGGCTCCAATCACAAGTTGTATAACTTTAACATTCATATTCCAGAGTTTGAATTCCATACATCTCTCGCCAGGTCCTGAAACGTTGAGATAATTTGATAAGTCCTCGAATACTCGACAAATCTTTTATGCTTCATTGTCCTCAGTAGTAGTAGTAGTAGTAGCAGCAGCAGCAGCAGCAGCAGCAGCAGCAGCAGCAGAAGTAGTAGTAGTAGTAGTAGTAGTAGTAGTAGTAGCAGTAGCAGTAGCAGCAGTCGAAAGCAATAGCAGTGAAAGAGTAAGAGCAGCAGAAGTAGAAGTAGCAGAAGCATCAACAACAGTGGCAACAGCTTAACAGCAGTAGACTGGTTGAAGTTTCGATCGACAAGAAAGGAATGTTAGGTAATTTTCGTAATTACACTTGACTCTTAATTGATCGGCTTCAAGTCAGTAAACCATTTTCAATCTGTTTTTGAAATCATATTTCTTCTATCAGGCCCAACAAACCGAAAGAATGTAGAGTTCAAAGCGTCTCCCTGGCCGTTCATACCATTCAGAACACGATTCAATTTAACGCTTGTATTTATTCCAGGTAAGCTAAAACTATCTTGGCTTTATTCCTTTTAACGACTCGCTGCAATAGTACACATGTGTGATTAGGTGAGGAACTACACTCAACTCTTCCTACGACGGACACCGAAGGGGCCAACCCTTCCCTCTTAGACAAGTGTCCGACATTTAGAGGTGCAGATAACGTGACACCGCTGATAATTGTAAGATGACTGATAAACCTGGACCTACGCTCAAAGACAGCTATAAAATGAAAGTGGTGCAACATCTCGCCTCTCAACCATAAAATCGAGCTTGTGAGAAGCCTTGCAGCTGTTCAAAATGTCCAATTTAATTGGACCCCTAGCTGTATGACCCAGTTCTTATGTTTTCTCGCTAGGGTTCAACTGTTAATTTTTTTTGCTCACTGCAGTTTTCCCAACCAATCCCTAAGATCTTCCGAGAATTAATCTGCAAGGTCGCAATTTTTTATTTATTTTTTTAATTTTTAAAAATTTTTTAAATTTTTAAAACTAAACTAGTGAGCAGCACTCTGCGAACTGTTACTGTAAAACTTGTTTATTCTTCAATATTTGCGCCCATTATTATTTTTACTCATATTATGGCTTAAATACAGGCGTTTAGTATTTTATTGTAAAACTCCCTGAAGAAGTCTACGTTAGTTAGACGAAACGCGTAGGGAGAATAAACAAGTTTTACAGCAACAGTTCGCAGAGTGGTGCTCACTAGTTTAGTTTTAAAAATTGAGCTTATTCAAATTTTTCAAATTTTTGTTAACAGGAAAAAAACGTGAAAGGCGGGAAATATGGCTAGTATTTCCTTGGTCAAAGAGTTTTGAGGGAAAAAAATTAACCGGCATATCAAGAATTTCCTGGATCTGCCTCTGGTCCCATGAAAAAAACTAAGAAATAATTTGACTGCTTAAATCATCCCAAACTGATCAATTATTCGACTTAAAGATAAATTAATGATTTTTTTGTTATATTTTTGTTTTTTTTATCCTCCATAAGATGAAGCCATTTTTGCGGCGACATCAGAGTACAAGGTGTGGATAGAACCGAGCGGCCAATTGTATTTAAGGGGGACGGAGGACGTTTGCAGCCAGAATGAAAATTTCTGCAGTTTAGCGGCGGGTGGTGAGTAACTGGTTAACTAAATAAAAAAACAATATATAAATAAATAAACTAGTCAACAAATAATGATGATGATGATGATGATGATAAGTCATTAGATGTGAGTGTTTTGTTCTTTAGTTTGTGATGGAAATAAGATGCACAATACTAAACATGAACGGTGGAAAATGGAAAGGTTGTAACCGAAGAAAAATAGACTAAAGGAATTCCACTTGTCCTATTTTAAGAAATCTTCTTAAGCACCATTTAAAACGCCCATAACATTAACATCAAGTAATGATAATAACAATAATAAAGATACATGTACACGTTTCATGTGATCAAACCCGAGTTTTTGACAAGCACTTTACATTTGTTAAACCAAAATTCTACCAAAATCATTCATGACAAATCATTAAGTTATCAAGCCTTAACACGGTTTTGAGGAGTAGGCAACCGCCCGAGAATGTAATGTCGAATAATTTCCATAAAACGGCTGTTCTGAAAAAAATGTGAATTGTAAACTAAAGCTACACAGTAAAGGATTTTACTATGAAATCTTGGGGGCCGTTACTGTGCTCAGTTAAATTTCTCCAGACACTTGCGTTAGATTTTCCATATATTTGTCTGCACTTTTTCCCGGGAACTTTTTACAGGCAAATGTATAGAAAATTTTAAAAACTGAGTGCTTCTAGCGCATGTAGCTGCATGTAACGACCTCAAATTTTTTCAGTAAAATCGTTAGGAGTGAAGCTTCAGTTTACAATTCATTTTTTTTTTTTTTTCAGAAGAGCCGTTTTAGGGAAATTATTCGACATTACATTCCGATACAAATAAACATTGTAATTTCTCACGTGGTGTCCAAAACCGTGGTAAGGCCTATTGATGTGTAGTTTTTGTTTTTGTTTTATTATGCTAGCCGTGCAGCCAACTCGAACACTCTTTTTGATAATCAATGACAATAGGAAGTTTCAAGAGTTGTGCGTGAATCATATCGTCTACCGCCTTCCACTGTTTTCTTTCCTTTTTTTTTTCAACTATACCCTGTGGCCAGTTAGCAAAAAAATCCGTCATAAGGGAAAGCCCCGAAATTAGACATATTAAATTCTGCAAGCAAAATACTGTAATGCTGATCGTACTACGTGAAAATTAACTCTGCAAGACATCAACACCACACCGAAAGAACTCAAAACAGAGCGGGATTGTAGCCATAGACAGCTGTTACCCCATCTTTGGGGTTCGTCAGTATGGCGTAACAACCAGAGATCAGGCTCTCAAGAAAATTATCCGCGCACTCTGATTTTAGCCCTGACCCAGAACTTTTTAATAACACCCACAGAATCACGCCATACCACGTGTCTTCTAGGGGGCAAGAGTCAAGTTGATGTAGAATAGGGCTTCATTTTTCAGGAAACTGATCAGTTGGTTGAAGATTTTATCTAGACTAGGGAAACAGCTACTTTAGGATAGGGGGTATTTGGGGAGTTTACTCTAGTATAGGGTAGCAAAATTTAGCTGAACTGGCTCTGGTATGGGTTAAGGGTTCCAGGGTCCCAGCGGCACATCCCCACCCAGAAATTCCTAAAGTGCCCCCCCGGGACAAAACCATGAAAAAATTACATATAAAAGATCTACAGCTCAAAACTTCATAAAGTACAAACATTAACCATATTCGTTTGCGTTCCTTTGCAGTCCCTTGTGGTTAATGTTTGTACTTTATGAATTTTTGGGCCGTAGATCTTTTATAGATCCGATATGCTGTAATTCTTGCATGGTTTTGTCCATGCTTTATAGGTTGGTTTTGGCCAGTTCTTTGACATCAACTTGAAACTTGGACTCTTGCCCCCCAGAAGACACGTGGTATGGCGTGATTCTGTGGGTGTTACTAAAGAGTTCTGGGTCAGGGCTAAAATCAGAGTGCGCGGATATTTTTCATCAGAGCCTGATCTCTGGTTGTTACGGCAAACTGACGAACACCAAAGAGGGCGAAACAGCTGTCTATGGCTACAATCCCGCTCAGTTTTGAGTTCTTTCGGTGTGGTGTTGATGTCTTGCAGACTTAATTTTCACGTACTACGACCAGCATTGCAGTATTCTGCTTGCAGAATTAAATATGTCTACATTAATATTTTTTGCTAATCAGGTCTTTATAGATCCTACCTTCTTCGGCATATTCGTTTGCGGTCCTTTGCAGTCCCTTGTGGTTAATGTTTGTACCCCGAAATTAGTTAAGATGCCGTGTTAAGTTTCTTAACTTTAAGGCCCTCCTTCTAACAGTGTTGATGCATATTTGCTAACTAGTCTTTAATGAAAACTGAAAAAAAAAACGTGGAAGAGTCTATTCAATTATGTACGAAAAAAGTGATTTGCTAAAAGGCGGTAAATACAGTCGAACCTCCAGTCCAGTCAAAGCCTTACCTCCTGTAAGCGACCTCAACCACTTTTTGGGCCTGACGGTTAAAGATTTTCCATTGTTTTTAACCTCTTGTAAGCGATCGCTTGACGCATTCTCTGATTTCTAAGTTCACTGTAGGGGTGCACTATGCTACTCAGAATATACGACGAACTTTAGTGACAACATGTACTAGACATGTGGTAACTTAGAAATTGCATGCAATAAATTATCCTCCATAAAGGAGATGTCTCTCAGGACCTCTTTTCGGAAGAAGGCTCCGGTGGTTCGATTGTAAACGACCACCCCCAGTAAGCGACCACTCAGTCTTTGCATTTTGAGTGGTCGCTTACGCGAGGTTCGACTGTAATGGTATACAGAAGTATAAACGAAGTGGATGTTGCTGTTGTTGCTTTTTTTATTTATTGTGAGTTTTTTAACTGTTGTTAGCAATTTGTAATTTTTCATCCTTGTTTCCATTTCTTAGAAAAGTTTGTTTTGAAGCATTCTGATATACTGAGAACATTTCCAGCGGGTCTCAAGGTAATATAATGTTACAACAGAAAAACCTTAACTTTTCACCACCATAGACTATTTTGCTTTTTGAGTTTATGGTGAGGGTTATCTTCTATTTTTCGGTGACTAATTGCCCACCCACGTCGTTAAAACAACAGTCGACAACACTCTTGTCGACATATTATACAACTGAAAAGGGTAATATTGAAGCAAACTGCGCCTTGTACGTGTACACGGCTGCTTGTGGAAGAGGCAGTTATTCTCCAAAAGATTTTCAAAACAGTTTTGAGAGAGAATCCATTGTCTTTCGTAGCTGCCTGTTAATATTCCTTGCAACTTGGCACTGATCGTCGGCTGCAATGGATATGAGTTGTAACGTCATATGTTGTAAAAAGTACGTCCGTTTAAAAACAAAAATTTCCAAACGTTGCCGGCATTTTTGCGCAAGAAAAGGCGTAAAACAGTACCAATCACAAATCTACGCTTTAAGTGGAAACAAAACCATATAACCCTGAAGCGTATAACTCTGTTCCAATCCCGGGGGGTACTCCCATACATTACCTATACGGGTATGTGCCGCCCAACGGGGTGGTGATTTTGAAGCTCCTGATTTAAAACGGGGTATCCATTTCAGAGGCGTTTTCTAAAACGGGGTATAAAAAATTGTGGATCACGACTTTATCTTCTGCTTAAAATTGTTGCTGATTATGAAGAAGCATTTATTTGATGTATAAGTCGAACAAATAAAGAAATATCTTTTTAAAAAAACAGGGCTATTTCAATTTACAAACTTTCTGGAACGGAGTATAAAAAATTGGCCCATTTCTAGAACGGGGTGTCAGTTTTAGGGCGAATTCTAGAACGGGGTATAAAAAATTGACCCATTTCTAGAACGGGGTATCAATTTTAGAGGAAATTTTTTTGAGAACGGGGTGCCAATTTGCAGTCCCGGGCGGCACATACCCACCCAAAAAATACCCAAGTGCCCCCCCCCCCCCCCCCGGCCGGGACCACACACCCCCGCCAATCTGCGCAGGACAGAAAACGTGCAGAAACCCCCCCCCCCCCCCCCGGGGTTCTAATGCTGGTGTTTTTTGGTGAAGCAATCAAAATGGAGTTACTGATACGTGCGCGCAATACTGTCGGGCGAGTGCCGATGAAAGCCTTGTACGGCGATGAGAACGAAGCGCAAGATGTAGAATATAAAAAGTTTTACCATGCACACTGAAACGAGAAACTACTTATATATCGAGCAAGAAGATATTTTGTTAAGGTAAGTTTTCCAAAAGCAGCTAAAAGTTGTACACTCCAAAACGCAGCTTAGCGCACGCAAATAACAACACGCTCGTCTGGTCCACGATTTGTTAATGTAAATTTTTTTGTCTGTTGATTATCTTGTATAACAAATTGAAAAATGCCCAGCGTGAACTATGGAGTTACGAATGTACTCTAAGAATCCGTCATTAGACGGATGCCTTCAATAGACCAATTTCGACATGTTATAAAATTTAGATTCGACAGCGAGGTTTGGGGAATAAAGCAAAAGAAATGTATTAATCATTGTTGAGCCTCTTTAGTTTATTCCCACAAGCTTCGGTGCTAAGTGTGAATTTTATATTTCGAGATTGGTCTATTCTGTGATTCAATATTTGGACAAAAATTTCTGTGCTCCTGATTGGTCGGCAAAAAAACCGCAGCATGGTTCTGGTGCAAATAACTGCTATTTTGAAACTGGTCATCAGGTCCACAGCAGCGCAATATTTCCCATTGCTATAGAAATTGGAAACCTATCGATGCCAGAATCTTGATGTCAGCGTACACCCGTTCGCCCACTCGTACAGACTGTAAGGAAGGGGAAAGGGCAATTCTGCAAGGAAGAGAACGTGGCTCTCCTAGAAAGGGCCACTGGAGTTGTTCCAGTTAAAGTTTCTTTCGTTTGACTTACGTCAAGAAAAACTTACTTTTTAGCTTTGTCACGCTCTTCTAGCTCCTTGCCGCTGGGGATGTTTCGCCAGGAGAGACGTCTGTCTGTTTCGCCAGTGTCCACACTGTCGGAGCATTACATTGCTTGATATATTACCGTCCCTCACGTCCAACCTTTTATACTGACCGTCTTTGTTCTTTCTTTACATACTGTAGGTGAATTTTGGAGCAGAATTGAAAATCTTTAACCAAGAACACAAGATGGTTTTTTGCGCTTCATGTGAGGCAACGTTACGTAGCTAAAGAGATCGTCTCTGTTATCAAGTAACAATTTAAAATAGCTAGTTAAAATAAACGTGAACCCTGAAGTTCAAATTAGTTAAATGGATGATTCGGTTTTATTCGATTTGCTGGTATTAATTACAGAATAATACATGGGCGCGCAGAGACATTTAATACATCTAATTTCAGCGTCAATTTGAGACTTCGAGATATAGCTATTTGAACACAAGATGATAGCAACTTCAATTTTTTCAAGCGTCCATGTGTTCCTATGTCGAAAAAATACCTTTGTTGTTAAAATAAATATTTCAATCCAATTTGTCACAAATCTAACTAAAGGTGAAACAGCTTTAATACTCAAAACAATAAGACGCATGCTCAATTTAAGCTATGTTTTTTACGCTACATTCTGATTTATAATCTAGAAGTATCGTTCAATTTTCATATTACATTTTTACAATTAAGGTTTTTTCCTTACTTACGGCTATTTACTTCGAGCTCCCGATAACTCGAACTCCCAATAATACGAACTTTTTTCGATTTGCCTTGAAGGTACGAGTTATCGGGAGTTGTCTGTATATAAAGTGTCTATTCTACAGATATGAAGTTTTTAGTCAGAATTCTACGTCATTTTACTGAGAATATCTAGAGGAATAACCTTGAGAATAGGGGTTGTTAGGGAGATTAAGCTTTTAGATCAATTAGCTCTCTCCTCTATCTTTTCCCCTCATATGATCTCCTTATATATCACAGCAACAGAGGAACCGTAAATAGTCCTGTTAGCATATAGTTTTCCTTCACCTGGCTTAGTTTACTCGCCTTCTGATTAAAAGATACTTGCTCTTATTAAGTGTCAATGTGTTAAGCACGAAGGTACTAATATTGAGGACATTACGTAAGTAGGTCTGTATGATCGTTCGGGTGAACGTAGACCTGAACGGGACCGTTGTTTTTGACAATGACTGACGTTACTACAACCTGTGCGTTAGTCACGTTCAGAGTCAAAGTGAGTTATATCACGTCAGTTGACGGTATGAAACTCTGGTTATTGACCTGGCCCCAGTTTCTCAAAAGTTGGATAGCGCTACCCACTGGATAAATCACTATCAAAAGGATAAGTGTTAGGGAAACCAATTGCACTATCCAGTGGATAGCGTTATCCACCTTTTGAACAACTGGGGCTTGATTGGTCAATTAAGTTATATCTATATATATATATACACCTAATTGCAAAAACGTTGTCATGAAAAAAATGAAAAAGGAAAAAGCCAAATAGGAATTAACTGGGCTAATGAGCCTTATGAATTCATTTGCAGCATCCGCACATAGACGTCGTATTTGCCTGTTGGAATTTGCTATTGTTTTATAGCTGAAAAATAATAAAAAAAACAACATTCCAGCGGGGAAATGCGACGGCTGCAAATGAATCCACCCTGAGAATGTGGCTTGATTATCCTCGTTAATTCCTATTTGGCTTTTTTCCTTTTTTCATTATTTAGGACAACGTTACTGCAATTAGGTGTATATACAGTTCTTTTCAGGACTATGTTCACCCGGACGATCATACTCAACCAACTTTTACTTTGACATGACTCCTGGGCTCAAACCTTTCACATTGAGGACACTGTTTTTAAGTCTTCCATATGGTCACGTTACCATGTCATCATTTCTAGGTGGTCACCCGCGCCACGCGCAGGTCTAGCCGTTTGCAATGAAAATGGGAAAACCTTCATTTCTCCCTTTATTTGATACCTTGAATTCGGAAGGAACTCGAATTTTCGACTCCCACCACTCTGCAATCAAGTGCTTTACCGGCTAAGCTAACTGTGCTGCAGTGCTAAGGCACCAGTCTTATTCTTCTTGGCATCAGATAGTAAAATAATATATGGTGTTGTGATTAGTGAAGGATGGTTGTCCCTTTACCTCCGTCATTTTGTACAATAGATCAACAAAGTTGCTTTCATTAGCACGAGTTTCTTGTCTGTAAATTTTCCCAGTTTCAGTTCGTTTTTTATTAAACTCTCTAGTAAGCTGTTAGGCCATCCCCTTTTTTTCCTCCGTTTAGCGTCGTCCAACCGGCCCATATTTTTGGTATTTTCAAAACAAAAAAAATACGACGTAGTTAAACCATTTTTTACTTAAAATAGTTCTTTTAATCTGAAAAATGAGCATAGTAATAGCATAGAAAAAAACAGGAACAAAAACAGGAACGTTTTTTACAGTATATTGTGCATTTTGTTAATCCAATTATGTGAATATTAACTTTTAACGTCATCCTGGGGTACCAGGGCCTTCTATTCCGAGACTTCTTGTAATTTTTTTTTTAGGATTTTTTTTTCCAATCCGACCGACCGACCCAACATCAGGAAACGCATTCGACGCTAAACGAAAAAAAAAAGGGATGGTCTTAGCCTACGTTTAACGGTTTTGGATTTCGAGTGAAGAAGTGAAGTTTCTGTATATCAGGCTACGTCCATACGAATCCGGATATTGAAACCGCTGCATACTTTTTTGAACTAATCTGTCTTCCAACAAGACTACTGAGTCCGGACACCGAAACTGTATTGTTTTGAAACCGCTCTCCAGAGCGGTTTAATTAAGGCTGCTTCCACACGAATCCGGGTGAGAAATATGCGGTTTTAAAGATGTTCGAACTGGCGTGTGGACATGGTCTCAAATGAAGAACGTAACCTTTAGATACTCTTTAACCTTGCTTCCTGATCCTAGGCCATAGGATAACGGAAAAAAAAGAGATAAATGCTTTCGAACCATCCACAGTATTTTTTAAGTTCGAAACTTGAATCAATTTGCATTGGACCTTATTGGTACGAAGACAGGTTTGTGCACTCTGTTAAGAAGGACTGTAATTTTTGCTCCTTTTATTTGACGTACAACCTGAAAATTGTGAATACCATTATAGTTGCTGTGCAAACTGGCTGCTGAAGGTATGCTTGAAGAGGTTCTAAAGGAGAACAAATTGAAAACATAAGACTAAGTAGTTTTTGCGCTCGGTTCGAAACGAGGTCCTCGAGTTGTCTGATGCTCAACAGTATCACGAAGTAGTATAGTAAGCTGATCAATACACATTAAGATTTAAGAAAAATACTTAAGACTTTAATATATGTATAGAACACTGAATTAGCTATTCTCAATACTCAAAATGTAAGTTCTAAGTTATATGTACCTCATTTTTCTCTCCTACATTTAAGAAAACGAAAAGCTTTCGGACCATACAGTCAATTTTCCGGCGTCATACCATAAATCCCTAGGACAGCTATCTAATGCCCTTACGTGCAAGAGTCCGCGGTGAGAGTGGGGCGTGCGAGAAAGATTTCCATTGTAGACAACATTCGCGTTCAATAAGGGTGTGATATATTTACATTTACCAGAATTCCTGTTCATGCCGGATAGACAAATCGTTAATCCGACGAAACATTAAGGCGTTTTAAAGGAGAGTGTTGACTGTATTAAACATTAGTTCTAGAACTGATCCATAGAGTGGGAAAATTATAATCCATTTGATTTACTGGATCTTAGGCCCCGCTTATATGAAGAAAACCTGTCCCGGAAAGAAAGGTGACCCTCCGGCCCAGCCAAGTCAACTTTGGAGAGTGTTTATACGTATGAGAAGGAAGTCTACCCCTTTGCTCGAGCTAACAGCGATCGCTCTGATTGCGTAATCCAGCGCTCGCTTAAGCGCTCGCGCATTCTCTGGGCTCGACTTGACCGAGGTGACCCGGCTGGGCGAGCCAAAGTGTTTATATGGAGAAACGTTGGCCCTGCTAGGAGTACTAATGTGACTCTACCATCACAAAAGGGTGACCCGGCTAAGCGAGTTAGCCTTCTAGCCGAGCCAACTTTTTGTTTTTTATTTCGACATGTAAACCGCGGCGGTTCTACTCGGGATAACTTTTCTCCATATATAAACGGCACCTTTTGAACGCATATTAGTGTTGCATCAACATTTCTTGGGTAACCCATGCATTTGATGGAGGAAAACGATGTACCAACATTATTGCACCATACCATAGGCACTTAAGCGGGCAATAATCTCTATGTCTATTTATATCACAATGATGATGTCGATGGCCATGAAGTCGATAGAGATGATGATCATGATGACGATGATGATATAAGTCGATCTTGATGATATTGATGATCACAGTGGTGCAACTACGACGATGCTAATGGCTTAATTAATGGCCGATGATTAATCATAACAATGTACTAGCTCAACAGCTGCAGGTTTTTGTGTGTGTGTCTGTTGCCGTTGTTGTTGTCGTTTTCAATTATATTTTGATGATAATCAATCATTTCTGCAGGCTTTACAATTGGTGTCAAGTTGAAATCATGATTATGAATTCAAACAACGCTCATCTACTTTCTTACCTCGTCCTGCTGTTTTGTGCTATAATGAGAGTCACAGCAATCAAGGACTCGCGCGGAGGACTGGAAATTAAGGATTTCAAACTCTGTGGTAAGACTAATCATAGCAAACCAGGCGAACCAAACAAACCACAGGCGTTTATATTTTCAATAAAAATTGGTGACTGGTTAATGTAAAGAGCCTGGTCTCTCTTGTTCGTTGACTACATAACCAAGCCTGCCAGGATTACCGGGAACACCCCGGTTAACCAAACTTTTTTAGCCTTGAGGTTAAAGTGTAGTTAAGCTCAGTTTGAAAGTCAGCAAAACCTGGTTTATTGAAACTGACTTGTACCCATGGCTCCATTAGGGTACGGGATTGCAGAACACTTCATAAATACACGTATGCATCTAATTGAATTAAAAAAGAATAACATAACAGCTGGCGAGAGCATTTGTTAAATGTTAAATGCCTCAGTAAGATATCTTCCCGCAATCTCCCACCTCACTCTACCCTGTTCACCTACAGCTAAAATTCATACCTGGCTACTTAATGCTAGCCTGCGTTAAGAGAAAGAATTCCTTCAAGGCCAGAATTTGCTTGTAAATTTGCCGACTGGTTTTCCAGCGTCTTCCAATCGCTGCAGATGCTCTACTGCGTATTCTGCAATCTAGCCGACAGTTCTAGCGTCGAAACAAATCAGGAAATCATTATGTTCACGGCCAAAAATAAAACTACACAAAACGAGAGCAAGAAAAAGCGGACTCTAAGTATAAGGTCACGTTTCATCATATCACGAGCTCAATCTCTCTTGTCACGAGCTATTAGTCGTGTTTGGCTTTTCAACACCTAATTCAAATCGGACTAATCACAAACTGCGTAAGAAACTAGCCAATCAAAAACGGCGACATATGTCCTTGCGACTCTGCGGGATTCGAACACGATATTGTGCACTAATTCGCAGATGCTCCATACAGAAGGTTTAGAACGTCTGCGACGCAGGCAACGTAATGCAAAAGATGTCAAAACAGTTTCCCCTCCCCCTCCCCCTTGCCTAAAAAAGGAAGAAGATAGAACAAAATAATGACTGATTTAATGTATTTTTTTTCTGGGCTATCTTATCAGTAGTTAAGATCGCGTGTGCATCCACTTGTATCTTTACTAGTAATACTTCTTAACTACATAAAGTCGCACATCAAGAGGAGTCACACAATGGCCCCATTGGGAGTAAGATCAAATGCACCATCCTTGACCTGTGTATTGCAACCCGAATGTTGTCACGCCAACTTCCTTAAGCGTTACACACACTAAGAATAAATATCACTATTCGTAAAGAAGGCATAAAATCATATTTCCAAGCAAATATCCCATTAAATTTTTAAATTCTAAAACACTACTGATTTGTCGTTAAAGCCCCTAGAGATATACGACTGGACTTTCCAAAAATCATCAAAACTATAATTACCTGATAATTACCATTGTCTTAAAAGTTTAAGTTTTGTTTTAAAATTCAAGAAGAGCAAGTGAAGAGCTAATACAATTCTGACCTTCACTTCGATATTGCTAACTTAATTCCACTATGTCGACTACTGGAATCAGATAGCAATAGCATTGCAAGCCCGGCTTTTGATCTTCCCTTCGACGGGATACTGGGGCCAGGTCATTTAAGTTTAAAAACCAAACGTTTGGATTCTTGGGGCAATCTTTGGAAGATGGCAACTTATACCATTCATATTAAATCCGCGATCTTCATTGCCAGTCCTCCTTGTGTATGAATAATTTTTTTTTCTATAATCTGTCATCATTACATAATCGGCAAAAAATGGTCCTAAATCAAAAATGAGGGATTTAATTTTACTGTCTTTCAACAACTGACAACATTTAAAAGCTGATGGAATGTTTTACGTGTTGGGTTTTCAAAGCCATCTTTGAGAATGACTCACCTATTTTGTACTTCTGGAAAGAGACTCTTGCATGAGATGAAGTTTTGCACCAATTTCCTTAACAATGCTTGTAGACTTCATAAAATCAGTACTCTTTTCTAGGGCCCAGTAATCCAAGCAACACAGAAATCAAACTTTCTCCTTGGCCATTCATACCATCTAAAGCACTATTCAACCTCACTATTGCATTCACCTCAGGTAAGACCTTAGTTGATCTCATTGATGAGTTGTTACTTCTTTTGATTGTGCTACCTAGAACATATACAAAAAAGTGGTTTATTCAAATGACAGCTTTATACACTTCCGTGTTTTTTTGTTTTTTTTTTCTCAGTTTTAGAAAAGGACCAGTTAACTAAGCTCTGTAAAAAATCAATTAGTAAACTTGGATCCAACTTTGAAAAAATATCGGGACTTGGGTGGGGTCCCGAAAAAGTCGCGAAATTTTTCAGACGATGTTGTGTGATGAGAGGAAAGTTTATCCACCTCCCCCCCCCCCCCCCCCCCCCCCCCCCCCCCAACCACCCCTCAACCACACACCAACTTAACCCAATTAAAACCTCTCCACTGTCTACAACACATATTTAATTACACGCAACAAAAAAACATAATAAACAAAAAAACACCATGAACCACTGCAACAAACCAGATTAGAGAAATAAAAATCATTAAAAAATAAATTTAGTAAAGTTGAAACAAAATTGAAAAAAAATGGCGACTTGTGTGGGGTCCAGAAAAAATTTCGAAAATTTTCCAAAGCATTTTTGTTAAAAGAGGAAAATTTTTCCCCCCCCCCCCCCCCCCCTCCCCCATTCCCCATACAAACAAACGTTTATCAAAATGACAGATTAACTGATTTTAAGGCTTTCCAGTGTTATCGAAGAATTTTTGCTGACTGGTCAATGTCAAAAGTTATAAGAAATAACCTTGGAGGACTCTGTTGCAACATCATGATCAGACGCACACTTTTAAACACTGTAACTAACACTGTTCTCTAACTGTTCAATATCTTTTCAAAAGCTGAGGACATTTTTGCCGTGACATCAGAGTACATATTGTTGTCAGAACCGGACGGTCGAATACTAGCAAGGGGGAAGGATGACATGTGTCGCAAGAATTTGAACTTATGCACCTTAGCGGCAGGTGGTAAGTATAAAACAATAACTCAAATAATCAAAACAAAACCCATAAATACTCCGTGAGCATATTGCCCTGATAAATGCAAAGATTAAATCACTTCTAATGGATGGACCTTATCAAACCTGGTAAAATTTCCTAACTGAAACGGGGGAGGGATTTGGATGATTGAAGCAATTAAATACTTATTAAGATGAACGTTTTATATAAAGAATATTAAGAACGTTATATAAAAACGAATATCTGAAAAGCACAATCATGGGAAAAAGCCAAAAGAGATGTTCAGCCCAAAACTAACAAAAAGTCGTCCATACAAGTTAGTATAGGTCAGAGCCTTCGATTGTTGACCAGGTAATTTTAGGTTTTTGTTTGACCCAAAAAGTCAAATTATGACGTCACAAGGGCTGACGTCACCAAATTGGGTTAAATAATTTTTTTAATTTCAACATCAAACTTATATTATCTGAAAGAGAATTAGATTGGAAGTAAAACCGTTTCTCGCTACGGCAAGTGGGAGTCGAGTTATGGGATTTAAAATATATCTTATTGCACCCCCAGGAACCATATTTTTACTTCGGCGGAGCGCGAAGTAAAAGATTCGCGACGCTCAGGAATGTGTCAAAGTTGCAATTTTTTGACAAGATTGGGCAAGCAAAGTCTGTAGATTTTCGGCTCTATTCGGCTATTTGACGAAGTGAGAGCCGAATCAGTTCGAGATATCTCGAGATCACTTGGGATTTCTTTAATTTATTCTTTATTTTTTGCGAGGAAGAAAGAATTACTATTTTGGCCTTCCGGGGTTTGAACCGACTCACCTGTGTGACCCGTCAGATCGGAGGAGACTCTAAGTTGAGAGATTAGCCGATTGCGCTACTGCGACCCAAGGTAGTTTGGGCTTTGAAAAATAGTTATGAAATAATGCACTAGTTTCGGGACAAGATTGGGCGTGCAAGTTCGTGACTTTTCGGCTTGTTTCAACTGTTTCACGAAATAAGTTCGGACTACTTTATGATATCTTGAGATCACTTCGAGTTAGTTCTTAATTACTCGAGGAATAAATAGAGGATATTTCGTGGCCGCGCAGAAACACGAAATTTCTCTTCGAGTGTTGAAAAACATTTCACGAGTGAGCCCTCCTTTCGAACTGTTTTATGATGAATTTAAAGTTACAAAATGCTGCACAAAGACATTTTGTCTTTGTTGAGTGTTACGTAGTAAAATTGCTTTCATGCGTTGCGTGACTTTCTCGAACGTTCTCTACGTTTTTGGATTAGCCATGAATAATTAATTAGGGCATGTTTACATTTCTGCATGAGTCAGCAGATTTGCATTAGTTACTGAAATCATAAAATATGTCGAAAAGCTACTACTATTCGCCTGTTTAGTATTTTCTACAACCTTATGTCAAACGGTATACAAGTTCCAAGCGAGTTCCTTTTGACAAACTAAGTTTTTTCCCACGAGCTGGATTGCTGTGTTTAGTCAAGTGTGACGAACGTCGATTTTCAGGTTCTGTGTTTACAAGTTCGCGGAAGCCGTAAGATATATATCTGAAGTTCAAGTGAGAGTTTGTTATTTCTGGTAGAGGCTGTTTAGTTTTACGCAAAGTTCAAGTCAAGTTTGTGTTGGCGGATGCTGTGTTTTAAAGCTCTGTAAAGGCTATGTTCCTTTGGTGTTAAACTTCCTTGTGTTAATCCGACATCCCTGCGTGCTGATAGTCAGTGAATAATTATCCTCAAAACATTCGAACTCGTGACTTTGAGTTTTAGCCAATTCCATGCTCAATGTAATTGACTCCTTACCCATGCCTTACATATCTTTAATCAGTACATGAGACTGCTATGCTGTTTTTGAAGCCTGATGTGACTAAGAAAAATAGAGAATTGTTTTTTAGAAGGATTTGTATGGAGTCATCAGAGCATAACTGGGCTAATATCGCGGAGACAATTTGTCCTGAAATGCTAGTTTTTGGCAAGTAGGCCTCTTGGATGTTGCTCTTTTCAGAATATCCTGACAAATCCCATAATTTCACACCTTACTCTTACCATATTTGATTTCCTACTGTTCCTCCGCATTTACAATTAATTAGTTCCACAACCACGACGCCGAAGTGTACGCTAGCTCCGTAGCGTCTTGTTTTCCTTAAAATCGAACCCTTTGGTTTACTTTTTACACTTTTTTGCAAAATAAGCTGATTTTCCGGTAACATAAATCTTTTATAGTTGCTAAAAATCGTATCGTTTTAGATTTTCGTTTTTTGACGCAAAAACGCAAATTGAGGCAAAACAAAAATAATCACGTTACCTCACGTTACCGTCAAAATATACGCCAAATTGATTGGCTCAATATTTTGGTAAAGAAAACGTTAGAGCCAACAAAGTTATTGTAAATAAACCCGAATTGAGGTGATTTTCCCCCAGTGTGATTTAACTACGTTTATTACTATTATTATTATTATTACTATAAAACTTTTTTTAAGAACTTTTTTTTAAAGAAATAGGAATTTAGGAATACGAGATTTTATACTTTTTAACTTGTTTTTTTTTAATATCAGAGATGGATGATTCCTTTTTGTAATGACTTAATTTAAAACTCTGGACCGCCTGCAAGAGTTATTGATCGCATCTGAGCAGCAAGGACTGATTTGGGAAATCGTTATTGACACAGTGATTGTATTTTTATGATTCATATAATTCTTAATGTTATATAGTGCTTAATTCTTACTTCAAATATTTCTGTAAATTATGTACATATTTTTAAAGTTGAATAAAATTATTATTATTATTATTGTTATTATTATTATTATTATTATTATTATTATTATTATCATTATTATTCTTTGTTTATCCTTGGGTAGAAAAGTATGTCTACAAGTATACCGATATAATGAGAGCTTTCCCACCTGGTTTCAAGGTAAATATAGCCCTTTTTTTCCATCAGCAACTACTTAAAGACGCTATATCACGCTATTTGCTATGAATCTTTTTAAAAATGCTAAAACTTTATCAATTACATTCTGTGAATTCCAAAGATTTTGGTGCAGTTTTGTTATTTGAGACTATATACTTCGACAGACCTCTCGTCTGCTCGGCAAAGGATTCAGTCAAGGATGGACATGCAGGCTCCCGACGTGGATTGAAACTTGAAAAAGTTGGGCCCACTTTTTGAAGATTTAATCTGCCTGCAAAAATAACCAAACAATTTATTATGGTTCAGTGCGCACTGATAAAGTTTGTTTGATATATTTTTTACAGCTCTACAGGAGCATTTCGTGTATGGAAAACCCAGGGGGATTACTCAACAAATGTTTATACGGGGAGGCTCAGCCCCGAGGTCCAACCCCTTATATGATGTTTTCCCATGGTTAATGCATGGGTACCCTTCTATATATCATTTTTCACGAAAAACGTACTCCTTTCCTATAAAACAACCTGTCGTCGCTTTCCGCCGTTCACCAAACCTTCGTGACATACACTCGTTCGTGCGAAACTCGCCAACATCGACAACACATCCAAGCCCCCTGCCAGCACATTCCGTTAGTTGCAACTCCAGACATGGCTGCCTCACCTCACTTTCAACAACACAGGAGAAACAAGACAAATTAAACATCACATTACTTGTGACTCAACAAACCTAACATATATGATCCAATGTAAAAGATGCTAAAGACAATATATAGGTGAAACTAAACGCACACTTCGTGAACGCTTTAACCCTTTAAGCCCCAGTATCAACATACAAATTCTCCAAACTGATCTCCATACATTTCCTTAAAGAATGAGTTGAGAGAATTTGATAATAGATCAAGGCATTTTCTCTTCGGTGATCATTTTATTCATTCTCATAACGTATCTTTTGACAGTGTACGGATATTGTTAGGAGAAAATTGATCTTGGTCACTATTGGGACTTAAAGGGTTAAAGAACATAGACAAGCAACAAACAATCCACTCCACGCAACCGCCACAGCCGCAGTCCCTTCTCACTTTAATCAACCTGGCCACTCGATCGCAGACATGGAACTTATTCTGCTTGAATTGCAACCCACCCTCAGCATGTCACGCCGTAAGGCAAGAGAAGCATACCTCATAGATGGAGGCAAAACCCTGTTACCAGACGGTCGTAACCGAAGGAATGAACATTGAACTGTTTCTATTTCTATTTTTAATGTATAATCATTTACCTTTATATTATTCTATTTAGTATTTATAATTGCAGTTAATTATTAACCACTTATTTGAATTTTCAAGAGGAACCAATCAGTTACATTCACGTGTTGCGTGGACCTCTGCATTCAAATAGTTTTTCCTTTCGTATATACCTTCTATTGACAAATGATATTCCTTTCACATGCCTTGTTTAAAACTTTGTATCCCTTATAACTGCTTTAAATGCACTGTCTTTTAAATAGAATTCAATCAACAACAATAGAACTTCTTTACGAATTTATGAAGCCATAAAATTCATCTGTTAGCCCTTTTGGGCCCTTTTACAGACCCAAATGACAGATTTCCCTACCCTTTTATATACATCAACTGGTGAAATCCCTACTCTTTCATATACCTGAAGCCTGAAAAAACGGACATCCCTCTCGGGCCGGCGGAGCCTTCCCGTATGTATAGGCGAACATAGGGAGTACCCCCCCCCCCCCCCCCCCCCACCCCCCCCCTGACGGGGCTAACCACCAAAAAAAAATAAACTCACCGAGCTACTTGCCTTAATCCAATCATCTAACCCCTTTTCTCAGCATTTGTCTTATATACTATATACTAAACAATAACACAACACTAACTCTGTNACTGCTTATCATTTTTAATTATTTGTGTCACTGTGTTTACTTGTCTGATATTTCAGATGACGGCGAGAGCAAAAGTAAAACTCTTCAATGAGGAGCACATCGCGTTTTTCTGTTTTGAAGCGTTGATCACGATCACATGACAAGGAAGTCTTCATCCATTGGATAACAGTAGTTCACAATAACAGTCAGACAGGCAGATCTGCAAATGCGATGTGGTAGGGGCTCTCTTAAGGCCGGGGAACACTCTCACAAGCGAGCATCTCTAGATCTACTTAGTTACGAACTCTATGGTAAAACAAATACGGACAAAATAGCAGGGTTTAATATCATAGGAAATAGGGATTTTCCCCGTTAAAAGCGAAAGAGTTTGTCAAAACTTCCAAATCTAATAATTTTTTTATCTCAATGTATGTAATTCAACTAGACTAACCATTTAGGGCGAAGTGAAGACTAATTGTTTAATTGAAACCCCGTTGAACTGAATAAAAGTACAAAAATGTCGTTTCCCAAACATCATTTAATGTATTTTGTTTGTTTTGCACTATTTCTTTAAGTATGGACTTGCGCTCCTTTGATGAATAAAATGAAGTCTCTTAACAAGTGGACGGCAGCTGTTTTGTCCTACTTGGAATTCGTTAGCTCTGCGTAAGAAATGGCAGACGATGAGTCTGGGTGTGTGTGTGTGTGCTAATTTTACTTACTCACTCCTCTCACGGTAAGAGTAACGCTATTGATTCGCTTTCCCAGGGGTCAGATCAAACTGTTTACCAAGCCGGTTGGATCAAGTCGGGGGAGAGGTGGGGGAGGGAAGAACGGAACATCTTACATCACACCTTACACGGTGTTGACGCCGAGTCCCAAGTATGGCCCTTAATCCTCTTACTTAGCAACTGCGCTCGACCTATATATATCCTGATGTGATTGGAAGATAAATCAGTTGACCTTAGGCCTTAATAGGAATAACATTACAAACATCAGAAATATATAACAAACGCATTGTATATAAAAAAAATATTACTTTTGTAACTGACTTTTATAATATCGAACTTTACGTTTCGTATGCTTCAACATACATCTTCACAAGTGACCGTTAACATGAGTAGTAACTAAACTTAAATCAAAAAAAGAAAGTAAGATAAGTAACTAATTAACGTGAAGGAAGAAACAAATTAATGTGACAGTTGAGAAAATTTGCATGAAATTATGCAAACTAGTGTAAGTAAAGGTTTTCACTGCTTTTATTTTCATTTCCTTGAATATATACTTGGCCTCCACTCTTCGTTTCGCCTCCGATAATCGCACACCAAGTTTGACGAATGCACCTGTCTACTGCTAGGCGTGGTGAAAGCTTAAATGAGCCGTGGTATACTTGAGTCGAGTGTAAGCCCCGATCCATACTTAGAAAAATGCCATTGTTGCACCTCGGCTGCTTTTCAGCCAGTACAGTGTATAATAAATAAAACTAGGTCAGATTGCCCAATAACTGAAGAAAAAAATTTAGTCTTTGCTTGTGGAAGTGGTCTCCTTTAGGGGGGGGGGGGGGGGGGGGGGCCTCCATATATAACGCTAATAAGGAGGGGGGGCCCCCCTAAACAAAAGGGGAGGGGTTTTGGGCCGTTTTGGGTTGTAAAAAGGTATATATTTTGTCCGGTTTGGGTCCCAACGGGGTTGGGAACGCCGGCGGAAGG